TGTATTGATAAATTATTGAACACTTGATGAGTTGGAGTAGAGACAATGCACTAGTAGTATCACATTTTTGAAAAAACACATTGCGCTGTACAAAATCTAGTTAAAGAGGACTAATTATGCTTCCTTCATTACAAAACATATGCAGTTGTTTTGTGTTTTAGGTCCGCCAGTATCTGATATGCTCAGCATGCTCAACATGGTAACAATGCTATATCGTCATATTGTCCACCTCTCTTCTCAGGTGGCTGTATTCAGGCCTTAGCTGTCCATTGGCTGTCTTTAAGAGTGTGATATGCTATCTGATTCTGAACCATTTATGGCGTAAATGGGTGAGCAAGCCCAGAGCTGTGTAAGTGGCATCATTGGGCCGATCTCTGACCACTGCCCTCGTTTTGCCACACATTCCAGTTTTCCAGCCTGTCTGTTGACATTTGTTCTGTTTAGACCAAGAAACTCGTGTTGGCTTTTAACCCTGCTGTCCTTTGGCTTTCATTTATTAATGGAATCTGTTAGGCTTTTATGATGTTAATGGTGTCTTGTGGGAGGATTAGATGGTCATGTTCCCTTTCACTTACCAGCAAAAAAAACTGTGCACGACAGGGAGTGTTTCACATGGGACTCAGATGATGCAGAGCATAAAAAAATCTTTTTTTGCCCGTATTTTTTTTTTTTTACACAGTTATCAGTAAATCGCAGCGATAGAGCCTCTGTGCAATCTTTGTTCAATTTTCTCATACAGAGCAGGCAAAAGTATGTCTGCATTTCAGTCATAAGACTTTAGAACAGGCCCCAAGGGCTGTTATTTTAAGCCTTGTCATGCTTTCCAAAGAAAATTTCAATGGACAGTCCACAGTTGACAGTGTAATCTAGTCTGAAACTGATCTGTTTAATGTCAGGCCTGATTTGTTAAAGGCTCAAAATGCTGTTTTTAGTGACAAGTTGTGTGTGTATATAAAAGTATATATAATGAGGATAGGAAGGCTAGGGCTGTACAATATAATATAGACAAAGCACCATATTATGATTGCTGTATGCTTTGCAATATAGTAAAGCATATTGCTGAACTCCTGATGACATGTGGTTGAAGTTTGACTTGCATTATTTTCATCAATTATATCCTTTTTTTTTTTTTAGATTGTTTTTATTTAATCACCCAAAGAACATCTGTGATTGGTCAGGTAGATCACAGCACACAAAACATTTAGTGATTGGTATATTTGCATATTGATGCCTTCTGCTTTCGATATTGTGTAGGCCAGGATAGAAAATCATAATTTTGCCCAAATCAGTGAAATTCAGGGAAATTTATAAATAAATTGAGTCACATTGTAATGTAAGCAAAATACATTGCGGTAAATGATGTCCACTATATAAAATACATTAATATAAATTTAATTAAATATAAATGAAAATGTGTATTTTTACAGTTTGCTACATATATAAGGCTATTTGGGGGCATTTTGCCACTGTACTCCTGTTTTAACGAGCAGAAATGTTAAATATGGGGGCATTTTTGCTCTTTGTCACAAACATCCAGGTTTTGTTGTATTCCCTTTAGTACCAGTAAAGAAACAGTCCTTCAGCCTTTGCCTCCTGATGCTCTGTACTGCGGTAGCCATCTGCCAGGCTTCTGTGCACAGGCTCTTCTGTTAGCTGTGGAAAATAATAGAATTAATTTGACGGTCTCAATCTGTTATGCACTTTTTACTTCTAATGCTCATCAGGCTCTGAGAAGTGAAAGCCTGAATGCAGGCAGTCTGTGTGTAGATGCTGTTAAGTTCTTTTTATGGACTCTTGATTCATTTGAGGCTGTGGGGCAAGGAATCGACCACTAAAGGAAGAATTGATTCCTGTTTTTGAAATCAGTTTCCTATGTACAGTTGGCAGTGTTAACCTTTTATAGCTGTACTCACCAACCCTGATCCTGGAGATCTGCCTTGCTGCAGAGTGTAGTTCTAGCCACAATGTGCCACACCTGCTCCAGCTAATTAACATCTCCAGAAGTCCCTGATTGGCTGGTTTGGATGCTTTAGGGCCAGGAAAGGAGGAGGAAGCTTTTTAGATGCAGGTTGGAACTTTACTCTGCAGGAAAGTGGATCTTTAGGAGGAGAGTTGGTGACCACTGTTTTACAGTAATAAACAAACTTTAAAAGACTAGTTATTGTAACAGCTGTGTGAAGATAGTGATTCGACTGCATGGGTGTTGAAATGTTATAATGCAATACAGTAATAAACAATAAATGATGCACTATTTTTGGTCTAAATGCAATTCTTGGGTTGTTTTGCATAATAAAAGTGTGTTATATTGTTTTCGTTGTCTGTATTCTACTGTGCAAAGAGCTGTTTTAGTCACATGTATTGGCTTTGTATTTTTATTTTTTTTTAAATCTGTTCCAAAATAATTGAAACAGATTATGATGAAATTCTTTTTATAAAGATTTGTAATCAAATCATTGTCAGAGGTGTAAATCGGTTCAAATGTAGGTATTGTGATATGAACTGAGTCTGTTCTACAGTTTTTCATTAGGTTGGATGAATAACTGGCTCTAAATGTAGGCATAGTGATATAAACTGAGTCTGTTCTACAGTTTCTCATTAGATTGAATGAATAACTGGCTCTAAATGTAGGTATTATGATACAGGTTCTCATTATGTTGAAGGGCTTTATGTTGTCCAAGCTGGCAACAGTTGCTACGACTGATTGTGTTTGTGGGCGGAGCTTGGATAGACCAGTTGATTCTGTATGTTTGAAATCAGTCTTGATCTCTATCTCTGACTGTAGCTGAAGCACTCTAGAGCTGCTATTTTGCATGCTGTACTAAAGACAGTGCTGTATTCATTTCCTCTGTACACATTCCATAGTTTATTGAAAGGATGGTTTCTGGGGGCTGTGGCAGTGTTTTGGCTCTGGGAAGGGCGTGGCTGTCTAACGTTGCCTTTGGGTGTGTGTGTGTGTGTGTGTCTGTGTGTGTGTGTGTGTGCGCGCGTGCGTGCGTGCGTGTGCGTGCGTGTGTGCAGTGTACACCTACGTTCCTAACATTTCTAGCTGCCTTAGTCTTGTGGCGTTGTCTGAACTGTCTCCAAGCCAGTCTTAACTTGCCAGAAGTTCTGCATCTTGGCTTTTGAAAGCAGTAAATGAAATGTCAGTGAAGTTATAAGCTGTTTATTAGCAAAAAAAATAGGTCTGTATTGATTACTCAATAAAAAAAAATGAAAGCTGCTTAATTATTGAACTATAGTTAGCAATTTACAAAACGGATTATGCATATTTCAATTCTCTGACTGTTCTTATTTACAGTAAGAAACCCTTAATGAACACGCCTTCGTTAAATTAAGTTTTCCAATATGTTAATCTTATGAAATAAATAGTAATTAAGCACTAAAATTGGCAAAAAAGGTCATACTTAAGTGTGTTCTCTGTAGAGGATGTGTTCAAACCTACGTATGGCTGTGTACGTGATTTGTTCAGTTAGTTCTGGTTTTGTTGTTTGGCTTTTTTGATTTATCATAATTATTACTTGTTAAATAATCTTTGTGTGGGTTATGTACTAAAACATTCGTTTATTCATTTTTACATGACCATTTTCAAATTTCTCTTTATTTCTTTATCTGTGCTGTTTTACTACTTTAAGACTGATTGCCTGCCCAAAAAGCAGTCCAGCCAGAAACTCTTATAATAAGAGCCAGGTAACTGGCCCTCTGGAATGTCTGCTGACGTTCTTATCCATTTTATGTCAAGTGTATTTTTTGTTTTAGAGAAACTTAATTACAGATAGTGCCTTCATTTTCAATTCAATGCATCTCTGACATGAAGATTATTTTCTTCCGCTTAGCTGTTTATAGTTTATCTGTTGCATCTGTGGTGAGTTAGTACAGCAATGCTGACTGTGTAAAGGAGATGTGGATATGGATTAGAACAGTTTTTCTTGATTGCACGGATATTTTTCTTCTGGCCTTGCAAAATTGCACAATCATCACTGAAAGCACACAGTCTGAATCACTGAATCAGCACCAGCTGTGCAAAAATGTATGCTGGATCTGGAGTTTAGTAACAGTAGCTTAAAAGAATATATATATATATATATATATAAAAGGCAGGAAACCCCCTGGACAAGTCAGCAGTCCATCCCAGAGCATGAAGCATTAATAATTCACATTAATAAAAATGTACTTGAATTTACTTGAAAAGCCCTCACTATTTTGAAAAAAAAATTAATCTAGCATGTAAATATAAAGATGTTTCAAAACATAGCATGTTATCACTGTGGGGACAAAACCTTGTACCTCCATATTTTCCTTTTTTTTATATTTTTTATATAGTTTGAAAACGCAGCTGGCGTTTACTGCACTAAAATTTCATGACGATCAGACCAATAGAAACGGTCCAAAATGACTGACAATAAGTTTACTCTTCATTAACTGACAGCGAAAGAGTTTTTTGCATCTTCTGTAAAGTTACTTTTTCAGAGATAAGGAGAATTTGTTTCCATTTTATTTACCCCTCAGTACATACAGGCCATATACAGGAACTAAGCTGCAAAATGGCTCGTTTTGAATTCATTGTTTCTGTGATGAATTTAACGTCATTGTTTCTGTGAACACATTTACATATTTCAGTCAGAATAGAACTTATTTACATATCACTCTTAAAGGCTCAGAAGCAGCCTTTTTAATTCCAAGACATGAAACGAAGTTGGAAAATGATTTGTTTCTTGACTGTATTTGGTACATAGAGCAGAAATATTGTCAGTGGACACGAGGTGAAAAAAACAGGCTCTTTCGTGTCTTAATTTCCAGGCTTATTATTCAGTTACTGCTGTGAAACTGATATGTAAGTTCTGCGGTTATGAGAGTGAGGAATGTAAGTGTGAACACACATACAGACTTTCAGTTTAATGGTTTCATAGTATGTATTTTAATTGTAGCACTGTTACTCTTCCAGCATAGTAAATGCCTTCTGTTTTTTTTTGTTTTTGTTTTTTTATTTTATTTTATTGCAGAGGGTCCGTATGGAATCTTTGCGGGCCGGGACGCTTCTCGTGGTTTGGCTACGTTCTGTCTGGAGAAGGACGCTCTGCGGGACGAGTATGATGACCTATCGGACCTCAACGCGGTTCAGATGGAGAGCGTCAGGGAGTGGGAGATGCAGTTTATGGGTAAGTGCTCGTATCACAGAAAACAGCATTTTCCTCACTTTTTTAAAATAGGTTTGATGTAGAATCATGTAAACATTGCGTTCATGTTGTTTCATAACATTTCGTTCACTTCTCAGTTCATATATAAAAATTAATTTGAAAAGTCACTGTGTTTGTGAACTCAAGCAACTTTCATGTAACATGATTTATTTTATTCCCTGAAGCTGTGGGTCCACATCATGGAAAATTGGATCGCCTCACTAGTTTCAATAAAATAGATTGATGTAGTATGTTAGTGTTACAAGTAACAAAACACAATGAGGCACAATTCATGGCATCTAATCAGAACAAGAGCTCATTTACATATATCAAACTCAAAGGCACAGCAACAAAAACAGCCTGTTTAATTGTAAGGGATAAAGAAATTTGGAAAATGGTCATGTGAAAATGAATTTCAACTGTTTTTGGTACATAAAACCACACAAAAATCTTTAATGGACCTCGAGGAAAAATATTAAATACAAAAAATGTAGAAAATTGGTCATTTTAAGGCTCATTTTTCAGTAGCGACTTTAAATTATTCTGTAAGTACTATGAAACTGACCTGCTAGAGAAATTGTAGACCTGCTGACATGTTCTTAGAGGGGGTTAAAAAGCAGTTTCATAGTCGAAGTTAGCTGAATTTCAGAGCTGGGAAACTGTCCGAGAAGCAAGAGTGAGGAACAAGCCCCAGGTGTTTGCCTTTTTTCTGCATTTTTATGGCTCAGAATGTTTGAAACCTGCCCCGCTGTTATCAGTATGTTATCGCAGACTTAGTATTGTTATTGCTTACTTGTTGTCCTTGGAGAAAGATAAGTAGTTTAAGTAAAAAGATTACTAAATTGTGTTTTAAGGCTTATGACACACCCTGCACAACAAAGAGTGCTTGGTCTTATTCGGATTCGTTTAGAACCTGTTCATAATACGTAACATTGTGTAGTACTCATATTTTTAACTCTTTATTTTCTTGTCTCTCATGCAGAAAAATATGACTACGTGGGCCGTCTGCTGAAGCCAGGTGACGAGCCGTCGGAGTACACGGACGAGGAGGACATTAAGGACCATCTGAAACACGACTGACGTGCTCCACCCGCACAGCGACCAAAGCCTGAGACTCAGACCGCTACCATCCAACCAACCTGCCACTCATAGCCCTAATTACCACCTTTACCCCACTGCATCTACCCCAGATTACCCCTCTCTATGGCAACAATAAAACTCCAGGCAGGAGTTTTGGTACTGCAACAGCAGAAAGCTTTCAGCAACAACAGAGCTACAGAGCTCCAACCACTTACCCTGCTCTGCTTGGCAGTGGTGATGTTTTGCCACTTCCTGATTGGGGTAATAAATCTATACTTGCTTCAAGGTATCCCTTTACGCCTTGTTAATAAACTCCTGCCGTAATCCTTTCCTTTATTTACCCAAGTGGTTCTCAGCCCCAGTCTTCTAGAGCCTGTGCTGCTTATCAAACCTGTGATAATTTGTGAGTTTAGCACAGAAAGCTCAAAATACATTCAGTGCAGCAAGTTAGCCAGTTTAAACTGTGCTGGATCTCAACTGCACATGCATCATACAGTCACTTAGCATGGACAGTAATCTCCATACCTTTCCCTGTGACTTGCACAGTGAAAGTTTCATGCAATTTTAGTTGCTTGAAACCTACATGAAACTACGTTTACACTTGAGTTGCATAATGTAGCTCATTTGAAACTCCCAGCTGTTTCAAGCATCTCAACTTCACGGAACAAGTTGAGTTTCAAAGGATTGATTACAAACAGCATCGGCTCGGTGGACAGGAAAATGAAAGAAGACGGTCTTTTGGACACTTGACTTAGCCTAACGTGGAGTTAACTGAGGGATGACAAGAAACAAACGAAAGTTTCTCAAAGCTTGCATTTCTGTTAACTAGCCAGCTAATGGTAACAGCTATTTAAACTCTTCTTCTCTCTTTTTAGTAGCCAGTCTTTCATCCACACTAGTTTAGCCCTTTTAGTTTTTCTTCATCAGTTGTATTTACAAGTATTTACACAGTGACAACTTGAAGAATTGTGCAAAGGTGATAAAAATGCTGCTAAATATTGACGTGTAGATAATTACACGACTCTGATTAGTTCATATCGTAAGAACGATTCACTAGATCAGACAATACAGGCTGTTTTATTTGGCTCACTAGTGCAGTAACCAAATGTTGGATGTGACTGGTTGCATGTAAGTTTCACCGTGTAAAGCCAGCCTTAGAAGAGAACAGGCAACACCTTGGCTCAAAACTGAGCTAAAATAGAAGGTAATAGGCAGTTGCTTCATTGTTGTAATGGTTTCGAATGGTTTTATGTTCAAAAACCATGTCAGAATTGTCCATGGTAATTGACTCTGATGCACAAGAAGAGATCAGTTTGAACGGTGCTGGAGTAAAGGCCCACGGTCAGGAGGGAAGAGGTCAGGAAATGTGCTTATTGGACAGTCCTCACTTTGGACTAATGTGATCCAGCTAAGTGAGGAATCCTGCTCTGTGATATCACGCCCCTCCACCTGTGACTGGGCTTGAGAACCCCATTGCTTTGCTTTTTGCTTTTTTATTTCATGGGCCCGTTGCTTATGTTCCGTCCCAATCCACCCAAACTCACTTGCCTGCTGAAAACAAGTTTACCTTTTTCCCTCCTCCCTGGATTCGCCCCCATTTTCCCTTAAGCCCTATGCCCTTGCTCTATATGCCCTAAGCCCTTAACCCCCCCTGTACAGCGAAGCTACCCTGGGGCTTTTAAATCCTGCACATCTGCGTGTTTGGGTGACGGACTGAAAATGTGAAAAGATTTTTACAAAAAAATGGAATGAAACACTGAAATCTCACACACAACCAGATTGCTATTCACTGGTTTCCTCGGGGACGTCACTGTTGATAAACCCAGCGAGGGGAAGCCGTATGCTAATGGGATTGAGAGAGAGGGAGAGACGGTTCAGTCCAAAAAAAAACTGGGTCAGGAAACACAGCTGGGTACAATTTTTTTGAGTTTTTTTTGTTTGTTTGTTTTTTGTTTTTTTTTAATTTAAACAGTTCTCTGTACTACAATAACACACAGACAGACACACAGTCATTCGTTTCAAGCTCATTTTTTGGTGGGCTGTATTTTATTTCTGTTTCATTTTATTTGAAATCAACTGAAAAGTGAATCTGAGGTTAGATGTTTGTAACATTGGCCAATCCAGAGGGTGGGGTGTAATTTAGCATTAGCCAACTACTAGCATTAGTAGGTTACTTTTTGTGCACTTTTAGTGTCACGGTTTTGGTTTTGTCACAGTGTGATTGTACACATTTGGTTAAGTGGGAGAGGGGTTTTATGGGCAGTATTGGGTGTTGGGGGCAAAACAAAGCCTCTTATTGCTTTGAACCACATATTCTTAATCAGAATTGCTGTTTGGAACACAAAGGGAAATCGGTTTTTGTTTGGACAAAATCAATCGACTGTTTTACTTGTCTTGATTCCTCTCCCTGCCCTTCCCCATCCACCCCATCATGAAACAGTCTGAGTAGAAATTGTGCCTTATTTGTGTTCTTTTATATGTGTCGAAACAAAAAAAAACCCTGGACGGTGAAGACAGAAAGGAAGAAACAGGAAGAAGACTGGAGGGGAGGGTCAGGGTAGGGGGTTAAAATGATATTCAAGCATGGAGTAAAACATAAAAAAACAAAAAAAAACTCGTCCCATTCTCTCGTTCTGCTGTCGGTGTTAAAACGCGCCGTAACGCCCTCCCTTCTCAAACGTTCAGACGACCAAAAGGCATGCTCCAAACCTGAGAGCCCCCCCCCCTCACCTCTGTGCAACCTTGTACATAGACTTTACAAAGTATTCAGTGTTACTGCCATGTTTATGTAGTTAATGGACTCTATGTACTACTGTGTTGTATTGGCCATAAGTCTATTTCATATCTCTCTCTCTCTCTCTCTCTCTCTCTCTCTCTCTCTCTCTCTCTCTCTCTCTCTCTCTCTCTCTCTCTCTCGTCTTTTGTTTTCTTTGCTGAAGTTCTTTTTAAGTGTGGAAGACTTTTCAAAAACGAATTGTAAGGCGTTTTTTCGGCAGGGCAGGGGGTGTGGAGGTTCAAACACTTTTTTGTTGTTTTTGTCTATTTTTTGGGGTAGGTGGGTAGAGAGGGGTAGAAAAAATGAGAAATTCAAAAAAAAGTGGATTCTGTAAATATGTGTATCATTTTATTGAAGCATGTGCAGCATAACCATGAGCTAATGCTGTTTATTTTTTTTTCTCCCACTTCACGTATTTAATTGTCAGGACTGTCTGTGTGAGCGCCTGCGTGTGGGGAGGAGGATGAAGAGACATGCTGATGCATAAACAAATAAACAGATTTGGATAATAAAAGTCAGTCTTGTGATCTCAGTGGCTTAAAGAGATGAAATGTATCAAATATATAGCTCACCTCAGATGTAGCTGATTAGCCAAGACATGCTTGGTGCCTATGTTGCTTATGTTGCACTGGAGCTATAAAGCTAATGTAACGAACATGTAATGAAAGCGTACACCCCACCAGTTAGTGGTGTGCTAACTGCGTGCCATCTTGCATTAAAGGAAACGTGAATCAATAAACATGCAATATTACAAACAAGGACGTCCATATTAAAGATAAACTACAGACGAAATCTTTCCAAAATTCTTATGAATAGTCGTATTCAATGAATATATGGTCCATTTATTTCTGGAACTTTGGTGCAAAATGAACAATTCTGTTCATTATCTATAAATTTGGAAAGATTATAATTATGTGGGTAAGTGTTATGCACGATTTTTAAGTGTATTTCTCCAAATTTATTGTGAATGCAACACTTATAAAGCTTTATCAGACATCTTACTGCATTCTTGTTCCGTAGAGTGATAGATTTGTGAGAAATCGAGGATCTATGGGGAGAGGAAACATGATATTATTGGTTCGCTTAATTTTGCTCCACCTGCTTGTGCAGGGTGACCTCATCAAAAGTCAGTAGAGGGTTTAGAGGTGGGGTGAAAGTCATTAGCTTTTGATAGATGCTTTTATTGATGTATTGATTCAATGATTTATATGAACCAACAAGATACAAATAAAGTCCCTTTTGTTTTCTGATTGACTTTAAAGTACAGTGAGTTGTTTCCATTACTTTTAAGCTACATTAGCCTTTAAGCACCATTGCAAAATATCCAGCATCAAACATCACACATTTTTGCTAAACTGTTTCTTTAATATTTATGCACTAGACCTATTGTATGTAATTTAAAAACTGCAGGCTTGTAATGGTGGTAGATCTATTGCTACAGCCCCTCAAATTTCCAAATGAAGGCCCACAGCATGGATGCCAGTAGCTTTAAAATGGGATGAATAGAAGTTCTCCATTCATCAGTTCCCTTAAAGGCCTTAATGCTTATGCTTGGTATATTTACACCCATTATGCAGTATATTTATAGAAGAAATGTGTTGCAATCATAGGGTCAGAGTGAGAATGTTCCTCAGTTTCAGTCTAAACCTGAGGCTGTTCACTCTGCTGTCAGACACGTGAGTCATCATTTTAAAGCTTTATAGGCAGTGTGTTGTTAGAACTTGTTGGCCTTGTGTCGAAAAACTGGTGAAACTTTCTATCAGGGTGACAGATACTTCAACAGCCAGAGGCAGGTACATTAATCTAACGTACCACAAGCATGGTAGCTTACTTAAAGGGGAACTCCACTGACTTTCCAAAATTTCTCCATTATTCAGTGGTTGAGATGTAAACAAAGCCATTCAGAGCAATTTGATGTGACATAATTAATTTGTAGAAAAACTTGCAAATTTTCTTTACAGTGGTGGTGATAGGAACCAGAGGTCCCGATACCTACAGCACAAATATAGCCATCCTTTTTACTGTCCAAAACCACCAGTGACACGTGTCTTCTGAGTTATATATGGAATGTTGAAGATGGAAATAGTGGAAAATCTGAAAAAAGTTATTATTATGCAGACATTTTATCAAAATGCCTATTTAGAATGTCCTACATGTAACCCTCCTCCATGATTAAAATATATTATTAAATATATCGCTGTTGTCGAAACAAAACCTTGTATCTCCAAAATGGTGACTTTACAGGAGAACTACTTTACTTTTAATGTAAGTCAATGGAACCAGATTTTTTCCTAGTAATTTTGAGCCGTTTCTTTTGGTCCATTCATCATGAAATTTACACACGATGTAAAGGACAAAGGTACTTTCAAATTAGGTCAAAAACCGAAAATCGACAAAAAACGAGATACAAGGTTTTATTCCGACAACAGCGATACACAACTGCCATAAAACGGTGTTTTAGACATATCAAGCAGTGAATTCATAACCATTTCATATGATAAATTTCTGTGAGGGAGCTTTTAGAAGTGGACGTCTGGTTTCTATCACCACCACTGTGAACAATTCTGACTCGTTATGTTTCTCTAGACCAGAGCAGTTCACACCAAACCACTCCGAACGACTTTGTTTGCATCTTAACCGCTTAATTATGCAGAAATTTCGAAAAATCTGTGGAGATCCCATTTAAGAATCGTTATTTCTATAAAATGTATAGAAGTAACAATGCTTAGAAAATTACTAATCTATCAAAATTGGATTGAGAAAATGGAATTAGTTACACTCGGAGATTAACAGTTTAAAAGTGTTTGCATATTAAAATGTTTAGTTTGGTATGTTTTGTAGATTTTTTTGACTGAAATGAAAAGCTAAAAGCAGGTTTTAAAAGCTAGTAAGATAACATAAAATGTTAAAAAATAGTAAAAATCACGTATTACATTAAATAAAGTGTAAATGTTTTAAATTATATTAATCGTATTTAAAAACAATAATTAATAAACACATTCACATTTTACAATTTAACGTTTTAATTTTACTGTTTATAACATTTCATGTAAATGTGCTTATTATATTATTAAATTGTTTATGAATTATATTAAAACGTGTTTTAAAACGATACAAATTAACATGCGTTTAATTTTTTATTCAACGTCGAACTCGTAACCACAGCAACAAAGCAACCGATTTTGCACAGCATCGACTTCCTGACGCTGACAGTTTCACGCCAGATCTCGCGAGAATTACGGGTGCAACTTTTAACAGCCACAACTTTTGTCCCTACACCAAAACAAACGGTCACTGAGTTGGGGGGAGTGTCTTTGTGTTCGAGCGCCATCTGGCGGTGACTTCACAAAACTGCAAGTTCAAGTTTGGACCGAGGAGCTTTGGCAGACCGCAGCAGACGAGCACGACCAGAGCTGCGAAGAGCTTTGACTCCATTTCGTGTATTAGAAATGCTCTGGTCCGAGATATTTGCCTGATATGGGTCTAGAACTGTAATTTTTTGGAGTTAATCTTCGCAGTGTTTGGTGGAGGAGCCGGGAGAGCAGCAGCAGCGCTCAGTCTTTTGTGTTTCGGTAAGTGCAGCTGAAAATAATGGCAGCAGACTGAATTCCTCTGCGTTCGATAGGAATTCGGAGTCCAGAGTTATTCACTAAGTCCTTCCTTAAATCCTAATCGACCGCATGCACAAAGTTATGGGTATATGGAGGTGTAATGTGTGGAGAGCGTTGCTTTCAGTTTGATCAGTTTTATGGGGAAACGGTGTCGGGTGTGATGTTTTGATCTGATGACAGATGACATCAGTCCACAACAGCTGCATGACTTTAATATACTAGCAGAAAATAACATCAGGAACTGTTCAGTCTTGTAATAAAAGCGATAGGCAGTGCAACCTGGAGCACGTTCTGCTAGGTAATAAGGGAGCTTATACAGTCAGCGCCATAAATATTTAGACACATTTGTGTAATTTTGCCTCTGACCCGAAATGAAGCAGTCAAGATTGTAGACTTTCAGCTTTAATTCAAAGGTTCAAAGGTTCTGGAGTTGATCCCAAGTGTTGAATTTGGTAGCTGTTCATGAGAACTCTCAATATGCGGACCAAAGGGGTGTTGATGTAAGTGAAGGGGGCCATCATTAGTTTGAAACAACAAAACAAACCTATCAGACAGGCAACAGAAACTTCAGGAGTCGTCAAATCAACAATTTGGTACCTTCTGAAACAGAAGGAAAGCACTGGTGAGTGAGCTCAGCAGGCCAGAAAATCACACAAGACAGCTGAAGTGGATGATGGCAGAATTCTGTGGTGAAGAAAGAGCCCTTCACAACATCTACTCAAGTCAAGGACATTCCTGAAGAGGTTGGTGTATTGTCATTGATCATTGTCATAGTCTACAATCAAGAAACACCTTCATGAATGTAAGTACAGAGAGTTTACCTCAAGATGCAAACCACTGGTAACACTGAAGAACAGAAAGGCCAGATTAGACTTTGCTAGAAAACATCTAAAAAAGCCTGCCCAGTTCTGGAACAAGATTCTTCTGACAGATAAAACCAAGATTAACTTGTACCAGAATGATGGAAAGAGAAGAGTGTGGAGAAGGAAAGGAAGAGCTCATGATCTGAACCATACCACATCATCTGTGAAACATGGTGGAGGTAGTTTTATGACATAGGCAGGTATGGCTGCCTGTGGAACTGGGTCACTGGTGTTTATTGATGATGTGGCTGCTGATAGAAGTAGCAGGATGAATTCTGGTGTTTAGAGCTCTACTTTCTGCATAGATTCAGTCAAATGCTGCAAAACTGATTGGACGGTGCTTCACAGTACAGAATAATAATGACTCAAAACTTACTGCAAAAGGAACCCAAGTGGAATGTTCTTAAATGACCGAGTCAGTCACCTGACCTCAACCCATTGTGGTGCACAGAGGAAAAACTGTCCAAATACTTATGGACCTGACTGTATGCTACTAGATGCTATTAAAACTGTTGTTTTTATATAAAATAACAATTTTTCCATTAATAATTCATTGGTTATGCAACAGGGTTTGTCCTGTGTGCAGACCGATGTCCAGCTTTCCCAAATGGCCTTATGTAACTCACTGTTGGACAGCAGAGAATTTAAAGCTAAAATAAGGGACCTCAGAAAAAAGCACTGTCTTTACTGAGCACTGAACATTCTAAGCCATATTTTGCATGGTCAAATTCATAAATTCATAGATAGATAAATATGAGAACCAGATGGCAAACAATACAACCAGATGTATTGTTTGCCTTGTTCTGTTTTTTTCTGTTGTTTGTAAACAGTGGAGTCAGAATCTCAACTGTTTACGCTCACAGTGCTGTAGAGTGGCTGTGCTTAATAAAAATATTCTGTAATTGATTCAATGAATATTGTGCTGTGTAATTGCTGTGCCTAACAATTTTTGTTGATATGAAAAAAGCTTATTTTAGCATTTTGACATTGCTTAACTAAAGATGTTTCAGTTTTTCAGTACTGGTAATCTGATAATGATTTAAAATTATGTGCTGCCGCAAAGCTGGGAGATGTAGACTAAAAACAATGTAGGCCTCACTTCTCACTGGTGCAGTAAAAGCAGTGTTCCAGAACTTTCTAGATGCTCTACAGCTGTGTAATCTAACTAAAAGTATTATTATAGTAATATAGTATCACCAGGGTCATCCTATGGCAGCTCACTCAGGGCCTGTCCGGAGAAAATATCAAGAAAAAGCTTCAAAACTCCTGCATCCATGCAAAAGCTCCAGTCAGTGTTTTAGTGATGAATTTTTAAAGTTTGTCTCGTCAGGCTCCAAATCACATCCTTAAATATTGAGTTTAACTGCATAAAGAATGACTGAACTGAGCTGAAATATTAACTGGGTGCAAATACACTAAAATAATACTAAAAATATATATTTTTTTTTGTTCATTTTATAGCCTACAGTTCTGTACAAAACTGAGAGACCCTTCATTTATTTAATTTCCAGGGAAAACTGCCATTAAGTAGAGGTTATTCATATTTCATTAGGTGTTTCTAAAGGGGAAGAGATTTGAGAAAATCCACTTGCACAAAGAAGGAGAAAGTCAAAGTGATAAAAAACAGGAGTTTCCAAAACTTTAGTTCAAAAAAAGAATAAAACCTAAAGAGAAAATGTAACAACCACCTAGAAGACCTGGTAGACACCAAAACTGACCCCATCAGATAAACAGCACTTGAAGCTTTCATCTCTGAGAGAGAGGAGAAAATCAAGCTGCTCCAGATCTGAAAACATCCACAGGTGTTTCTGTCCATCCTGCCACTGTGAGAAGACGACTCAGCGCTGTGGGTCTGAAAGGATGTGTAGCTGTCAAGAAGAACCTCACTGAGAAAAGGAGACACATCAAACAAAGAAGCTGAACAATGGACTGACCACCCAAGAGTCCAGAACTCAACATCACTGAATGTGTTTAATTACTTCAGAAAATGATCAACCAACTTCTAAGACTGAACTTTGGAGGTGTGTCTGCAGATTTCTTTGAGAAACTGAAAGCGAGTCTCCTGAAAAGATATATATCTTATATATAATGCTTATATGGTCGTTATTTTATCCTGATTTTTTGAGCACAAAATTAAAAATAGTAAAACTGTAATAGTAATCACTAGATTTCCAAAATAGCTTTTAGATTACAAAACGTAAGGCAAAAAAAGGCCTATAAATGGATTTTGCAGCCATGTTGAACTCATAAAGTAGCTTCAAAATCTGCATGAAGAAATTAGTGATCAGTAATTCACAGATATGTAGGAATACTGACTTTAAATTAATTGAAACTGATGGAAAGTCTATATTTGAAAGATGAAATATTGCACAATCTGACATAAAAGTGCACCCTCCATTAAAGGAATCTTTTGTGGGAGTTTATCATAACACTAATAGTCTTAGTGTTGATACTTCAGCTCAGTTCAGTCATACTGTAAACAGTTAAATCTACAGTCAAGAGTCATATTTAAGAACAAAATCAATAATAAGTTGTTGTTTTCTTGTGTATTTCAGCAGGACGGATTTCCCGCCATGGCCGAGCATCTCTCTCAGAGTGAACTGGACTATCCTTTCAAACTGCTGGAGTACTTTAACGGCTTCAGAGTGTCCAAGGTCAGACACTGCACCATATGAACACTGTGTGCTCTGTTGTAGGGCTGGTTCTTCAATCTGGTTCTTCAGATTGATGGAGAATTTGCTGTAGATAGTTCTCTGTAGGACCTTTTGAAAAGGGTTCTACATAGCACCAAAAAGGGTTCCGTTATTATTACGATGTCAAGCTTGTAACAATAGACGAACCCTTTTTAGCCCTGTATGGAACCATTTTCCAAAAGGTTCTATATAGAACCATATACAACACATTCTCCATCAATCTGAAGAAGTCTTTCATAATGCAAAGAACCCTTGAATCATGAATAGGGTTCTTGGAGTGTTCTGGGTTCTATTTAGAAATATTTTCTTTACTAAAGAACCCTTGAAGAACCATCTTTTTAAGTGTGTACCTGATGAACTTTCCATCCAGGACCTCATCTCAGTGTCTTTATCTGTTATAATTTTCACCCAAATGAATCTGAGCTCTGTGTAACATGAGGAACATCAAGAGAGGAGAAAAAATGAATCTTGGTAAATAAAGTAAATCACAAGAACAGCAGGCGAACAACGAAGAATACATGGTGGCGCAGACATCTGTTTAAAAACAAAACTTGTTCCATGTATCTGAGACTCTTGCAGCTGTTACAGCTGAGATTCATCCAAAAAAGTTGTGTGAAAGTTTCACAGTGTAAAGCCAGCCTAAAACCCCTAAAACCCATACAATTCTAACTGCAGCTCAAATAAGTCTTAGTGTTGTTTGTTTTATAATCAGCAATGATCTCCACTCCATTTGCTAGCCATCGCTTGTGATAATGATTTGTTAATATATTGTTAATATTTAATATTTAATATTTATACAGGCCAAATAGTTAATATTTGGCCTGAAACTTACTAGGAGCCGCAGCAGATGCTTTAAACATTCGAATGGACGTTTTCTGCAGTCTTTTTTTTCTTCGTATATATGAATGTCAAAATTTTTATTGTGTCCACAGTACCTTCCTCACTGTGCTGTTAGAGGTCAGTATGTTTATGTGGGGTGGTGTGTTGGTGGAGTGACGTCTAGCCGTGTCTCAGTGCTTCGTCACCCATCCTGAGTCATTTGGGTTTGTGCCAGTCACGAACTAGCGCAGCACACAGCATGCTGTGAGGTGGCGCACAAGCTGCTCTGTTCTAAAGCTCTGTTGCCAGATTCAATAACACTTTACCTGAACTCTGTTACATAACATTGACATGTATTGTATTGTAGCTTTAAATTAGCATAATTCATTTTGTCCCTGCTTCCTTTCTCCTCCTCCTCTTCCTCCTCCTCAGGTGATTTTTTCAGCGTGTGAGCTGGGAGTGTTCGACCTGCTCCTTCACTCCCAGAAGCCCCTCAGTGCAGCTGAGGTGTCACAGGAGCTTGGCACCAGCGAGGATGGCATGGAGCGACTGCTTGATGTGCTGGTGGGCATTGAGATTTTGGAGGTGGAGCTTACAGAGGGCACGGGTAAGTTTACTGTGGGAGGAGCTTATGCAGAGAACAGGTGAGATTACCATAGGTGGAGCTAACACTCTGGACAAAGGAGTTTATTGTGGGTAAAGCTTACGCAAGATGCAGCCGAGTTTACTCAGGGGGAGTTTAGGCAAGACACAGGTGAGTTTACTGGGGGTGGAGCTAACACTTAGAACAGGTGGCTTACTGTAGATGGAGCTTAGGCAAGATGCAGGTGAGTTTATTGTGAATGGAGCTTAGGAAAGACACAGGTGAGTTTACTGTAGATAGAGCACAGGTGAGTTTATTGTAGGTGGAGCTAACACTCAGGACAGGTGAGTCTACTGTAGGTGGAGCTAACACTTGGGACAGATGAGCTTACTAGACTACTAGAACACTTCATCTCCTGCAACTCAACTCAAATTGTTCTGTGATGTATGAAAAAACACACTTCTTGATGAACATATTAAAGGGTTGTGCTGTGAAATGTTATTGCTGAAAAATCAACTTATGATATTTTGCTTCTATACAAATTATTCTCAAATAGTGTCGTGTAATGGGCCCAGCTCTGGACTAGAGAATTGGTTTTAAACTTCTCTCTACCCAAAATCTGACAAAACCCCTTTACTTCATTACTGCATGGGCAGTCGTTTCTGATCAGGAGCTTCTATGAGATCACGGTTTAATTTTAGATCAGTCTCTTTCTCTCCCTATTAGTCTTCTTTAATAATTCAAGAGTGAATCCTGAATAATTGATGCAAAGGAAAACATTTCTCGAGCGAACTCTAGAACTACTTTATTTAGGTAAATCTGAAAAACTGCATTCAGACTGAACTAAACCTAAAACAGTTTGTAAAGTATTGTGTTGTGTCTCCTCTTTCTCCCAGCCTATTACAGCAGCACTGACGTTGCTAATCTGTATCTGGCCAAGTCCAGCCCTAAATCTCTCCATGACATGATCATCTACCAGTCTCAGACCATATACCCTCTCTGGAACAACATGGTGGACGCAGTCAGGTGAGGCATAGTGGCTGACGGTGCCTTTTTGGCCTGGACTTTCTCAACTTACGTGTTGTTTACAAAAAAGGCACAACCATAATAATAGTAGTTGTCTTAAATCTCCTACAAAATATTGTTTAATTTCTAAATTAAATTAATTAAGAATTAGAATAAAGGCAGAGTGCAAGAATATAATCTTGGCAAATGATATATTAAATCTAATCGATATATCTGATATTTCTCATTTCAAGATTGTTGCGTGCTTCTTATAGAATTATTTAGCTTATTTCTAGACATTTTTTGTGTTTTAAGTGATTTTAGTCAGTCATATTGTCTCACTATTTTGCCAGATAACTTTGCTTTGCTGTTGCAAGAAATGTTCCTGAAACAAACATCACCTACCAATATAATCAGATAATTTGACTTACTAGAATCACTTAAAACAAGTAAAAAAAAATCTAGAAATAAGGTAAATAAGTTCATAATAAGCTTACAGCAGTCTCAAAATAAGAAATATTAGATATATCAATTAGATTTAACATAACTTCACTTGCCAAGATGTAATTTTTTTGCATTGTGTATGTGTAAAAGGGCATTTAACACAATGGACATTTCTGACAAACCGCAAAAAACATGACTTTAATTAAAATAGTTGGCTGAACATATACTGAGGTTCAGGTATCCAGTTAGCTACTTAATACTATGCAGTTTCTGCAGTTACTGTACAGTGGTTGTTATTGTTGTTCACAAGCTCTTTATAATTGGTCTAAATCTGTTTCATTTTTTCATATAGTTGATCAGTCTTCTACATAGACTGTCCATATCTATCATGTGCATATCATGTTGAAATTATAATAAATATAGCCATATTGAACATCCCTCGGCCATGCATATGGTCAAGTTTCATGTCCAGTAGAGGGAGGTCCACATAGAGGAGAGAGAGACAGTTATGCTGTCTTGGACTTACGGATGGCTGCGGCATCACTGGGATCGGACTCACAATTTACAGAGATTCTCCCTGAGGCTCTGTTTCACTAAGAAATGCATCACAATACAGAAGATGAATGTGCTGTGATTTCTAATTTGCGTTGACCAAATTCGTACGATTTTTTGTTCAGAATCATCAGATTCATCTGCTCAGGAAGGGGTCTGAAGCACAGCCTACAAGTTCTTCCACACGTTGCATGCAGTTACACATTTCCACCAGAGAGGTCTCCAATTCGCCAAAACGTAGAGAGTGTAGCTTTAATGTGTTTTACTAGACATCTCGTTAAGTATAGTTCATCTATTTTTGGAGGAAAATGTGGTTTATGTATTGTTAGATCAGGATTTAGATTAATCGCTGCAGATTCATCTTTGATTGATTACCTTTTATAAATTTAATGTATATAGAGTCACTGTTAATGACTATATTACCTGCAGTCAAGTGCGAAGCAGTTCGTGCATCGCAGAGGTCAAAGGTCCAAGTGAACAGACAAGCTGAATACATCATTTAGCAGACTTTGTCATGAGTGAGCTTTTGTTATGTTAAGTGTGAGATGTTATAATACCAGGCTGTGATTCTGAACTTTCAGGGAAGGAAAGAACCAAAATGAAAAAACCTTTGGTCTCTCATCAGAGGACATCTTCTCAGCCATATACAGGTGAGTGTATGCTCCACCAGCCTGACATGCCCTGTTCTTATTGAGCTGTGAGGATGCTTGCTTGTAATGTGCTTTTCGTGCTGTTTGATCTCCACCCTCCTGCACTTTCACCCACTGCTTAGCTGATCACGTCATTTCTACAGTTATACTCCCACCACACGTGATAGATAATGGTTGCTTTAAGGAAGAAATGCTGTGCTAAAAGCTCAGTTAGCATTCAGTTTCATAAAAGCGCTACAGTGTTTAAAGCAATTCTTCAGACAAAAATCAAATGCACAGTTTTTCTCCCTTTACACCATGTAATGTAGATGATCAGCCAAGACACGTTTGGTGTCTGAAGTTTGTTCCTGCAGCTACGGGGCTACAGTGCAAACCTGTTGACTGTAATCTTCCATTTCTTATTATAGCAACATTAGCTACAGTCTCTGCTTCCGTAGTTCAGACTTCAGTATGACTGCTGCTACTGTTTTTAGCTATGCAGCATACATTTGTCCTTGTTTACAATAGTGTGCAACAGTCTTCAGTTATTTAAGTCAACATAGCCAATCTGCAGACACACCTCCAAAGTTCAGTCTTAGAAGCTGGTTGCTCATTTTCTGAAGTAATCAAACACATTCAGTGATGTTGAGGTCTGGACTCTGGGGTCAGTCCATTGATCAGCTGTGGATGTTTTCAGATCTGAAGCAGCTTGATTTTCTCCTCTCTCTCAAAGATGAAAGCTTTAAGTGCTGTTTATCTGAGGGGGGCAGTTTTGGTATCTACCAGGTCTTCCAGGTGGTTGTTGGGAGTCTCATTTTCTCTGTAGCTTTTTATCAGTTTTAAACTCCAGTTCTGGGAAACTCCTGATTTTTCACTTTGACTTTCTCCTTCCTTATTCACGTGGATCATTTAATGTAATCTCCTGAAAAGTGTATAACTTGTACTGAATGGCTGTTCTGACTGGAAATTAAATAAATCAAGGGACTTCTATACAGTACTGTAGGTCAAAAATGGCTGTAAAATAGATTTTTTACTCATAGTGCAGCTTCATTTATTGCATGCAGAAATGAATAATTCATAAATTTGTTAGAAATATAGGAATACTACACCAAAACACAATTTTTTTGACAATAGTTGTGAAATCTGACAGAACAATTCCATTTCAAAGTTGAAATATTGCACATATCTGACATAATCTGACATAAAAACCAAACTCTCCAATAAAATAAACTGTTGTAGGAATTTATTAATATGAAACAAGTGGGTTTAAAGTGAAATGTTATTTTTTTTAGTGTGAATGAATTTGCACCCAGTTAATATTTCAGCTCAGTTCAGTCATTCTGTATGCAGTTAAACTCAATATTTAAGAGTGTGATTTGGAGCCTGACGAGACAAACTTCATAACTAAAACACTGATCGGAGCTTTGAGATTTTGCATGAGTGTAGGAGTTAAATTGAGGTCTTATCTTAATGTTTTGACCAGACAGGGGATGACCCTGGTGATACTGTATTACTATAGTAATACTTTTAGTTAGATTACACAGCTATAGAACACCTAGAATGTTCTGGAACACTTATCTCTTGTATCTTATCTCCTAAGAAATATCTCCTGAAAATGAACAACTTGTACTTAATGACTTTTGAGTAGAAATTAAATAAATCAATGTAGGCTTTTGACTTTTGTACAGTATTGTGTAAATAACAGTGCATAACAAATCAACACAGCATGCTGATTTAGTCAGTTTGCTCCGTGCTAATTGGAGGAGTATAAGCTTCCATTACTTGTTAGCTGCATTAGCCTTTTAGCTCTAGTGCTGCAACTAAAGAAGCAAACTTCAGACACCAGACATGCCTTGGCTGATCAACTACACTAGTTAATGCGACAGTGCAGTTTGATTTTTGAGCCGTCACATTAAACAGTGTTCTTTGTGTTCAGTCGCGTTTGGGAAAGCCCAGTGTTTTAATGAAACTGTTTCAGTTGGAGGGGATTTTTCCTCATTTGCACTGCAAAGCCCCCTGATCCAGCAAGTGGTAGAGTGATCAATCGGGCGGACTGTGTTATTTTTTAGTTTTTTTCTTTTAACTGTGGTGATGTGATGGTTGGTGACACTTTCTGGGTCACAGAGTTTCTGCTGAGGAAATTTGGAGTTTGGATTTAAGTCTCAGTGACAGACCGCCATCATTTGTGTGTGTGTATGTGTGTGTTATTTTAAGAGGCTGAGTGTGTTCCTTTGCTTGTGGATGTGTGCAGTGAGACAGAAACTTCGAGGTCATGGTGCTCACTCATCTCCACTCCCTCAGTGTGTGAATAAATGCTGCAGATACAAAGCTGAATTCCAAAAAAGTTGGGGAAGTAAACTGCTAATAAGAACAGAAATGAATAGTAATTTCTGTTTGATATGTATTATATTGAAAGTAATGCAAAAAACATGATATTTGATGTTTTACCTTCAACTGTATTTAGACTATTTATTTAATGAATATACATGCAGCATGTTTAGCACTAGGGACTGAAGACATCAGTTGATTCAGTTTTGAAAGCAAACTTTTTCACTATTATTCTGTTAAACAAGTCTCCACCTGCACAGCTATTTTTTGCCTCATGCCAGGCTTTCACGAAAGTGAGACAGGTCTCTACTGCAGGCAGGTCAGTCTGGCATCAGTACTCTCTGATTATGCAGCCATACTGTAACATGCAGAACATGGCTTGGTTTTCTCATGTTGAAATATCTAAAATATGCTTGTACGTCCCTGAAAAAGACGGTGTCCAGAAGGCAGCATGCTGCTTCAAAATGTGTATATAAGCTCCCCGGACAAAACATTAGTCACCTTGCATGTTTAAGGTGGTAGTAACTTCAGGCTCCTGCAGACGCCGCTGCATGAGGATGATCGGGCTATATATACCTGCGAGGTGTGTGACTGAATTCATAGTTTGATAAGAAGTCGTACAGTGCAGTGAATCTCTCATTTGATGTGTGGAAAATGGGTCACAAAGCAGATGTTAATGATCGGCAAAAAGGAGTGATTGCATGTGGGTGTGCCAAAGACCATAGTATTAAGGAAGTAGCTGAATTTGCAGGTGTTTTGAAACATACATTCATATGGGTCGACCAGCAGTGGCAAAAATCCCAGTCTACAGGAAATTCTGGTCAGAATTGTGGCCGAAAGACGACACTGACGGCATGTTTCATGGCTTGTGAATAAATTTCGCTTTGTTACCAGGCAAAAATTGCCTCATTCACAAACCGTTCTTGAGAAGAAATTTCTTCTTAAAACCCACCCAGTTTTTATGAAGATTCTGACATTCACTAGTGTTTTTTATTTGGGATTTGTTCTTAGGCAAGAACAGAATCTACACACACTCAAACAACTCTGGAGTTTAAGAACATGTCATGAATCTGATGTAGACTTTTTCTTAGGGCCTTTCTCAAGAACACATTTAAGAAAGAACTTAGGAAGATATTGGTGAATGAGGCCCACTGTTCTAGCTGTTCAAACTGCGTCTGAATATCTGAGTAAATCTTCCTTTCTGGTCTGTTTTCCCTGATTTTGCTCTGATCTGTCATGTAAATCCACATGCTAGTCATCTATGCTAACATATTTACTAAGACTATAAGCTACAAATCAGCCAAAAACAAGGAAAACAGGTAGAATATTTTGTGTTTTTCAAGTCTTCTCAACCAGCCTAGACTGACAAACCCTGCCAAAATGGCAGATCACCCATTAAACTGTTGAGTTGTTCACAATTTTTTGCGAAGCCTCAACCCATCCTTGCTTACAAAGTGCTAGGCCTTTCCTGGATGCTCCGTTCATAACAATACCATGATTGCATCACCTGCTTAAGATGTTTTTGAAACATTTCACAAGTCTTGCACCTTTTGAAATGTGTTGCAGGCATCAGTTTCAGAGTGAGCATGTATTTACAGAAAACAGTGCAGCTGATAAGTTAAATATGTTGCCTTTGTATTGTTTTCGTTTTAAATACAGCCCAAGGTGGAGTAAAAACCTTGGAATTGAGGTTTGTACAAACAGGCATTCTGTTTTAAACTGTTTGTTTGTGTGACAATTTATCTGCCAAATATGAATATCCAAAGGCAGTTGTATAAAGAGAATGGGCCACATTCACTAGCTGTCCTTAAGAAAAAAAGTCTTCTTAAAACCCACTTACGCAGTTTCTTGACATTCACCAACAGAATCTATACACACTCAAGAGCACAAAGTTCTGCGGTTTAAGAACACGTCATGATTCTGACGCAGACTTTTTCTTAGGACCCCAGGAACACATTTAAGAAAACACTTCGAAAGATATTGGTGAATGAGGCCCATTGACCTGAATTTGAAGGGAGCTTGTACATCTGTTAAGAAAGAATGCTTTGGTTAACAGATGGTAAAAGTATGCGTGTATGACTGATTTCGTCAGTGCACTATGTGTGTGTGTTTCAGGTCGGAGGAACAGATGCTAAAGTTTATGGGTTTGATGAACTCAACGTGGATCATTGATGGCCATGATATAGTAACAGCCTTTGACCTGACCTGCTTCAAGTCCATAGTGGACATTGGAGGTATGTCACCCTTAGAACAGCGTTCATGCCTTAAACCATTTTAATCTGATCTAAATTAAAGTTGGATATGTAATTAGCCTTATTTTGTAGCCGCAGTTGGTTCAACAGAATAAAACTGAAGCTGTATAGCTAACAAGTATTTGGATCTTCTGTACACCAATTAGCATGCAGTTCACACAATGCTAGACTGGTAATGCATGAGCATTACTTGTAGCAGATAGCTCAGTGCTTGGGGCTGTTTGGTTGTAGCTCTGCGGGTTTAATCCCCAGTGAGTCTCTGTGAAATGGACCTTGTACTGTGTTTTCTAAACCACTGAGCACTGCTGATGTGCCCTTGAGCAAAGCACTGACCCCCTGCTTACAGCATACCCTGTCCTCTCCCCCAGAGGGCGCTGTAAATAAGTCTGTGATCTCAGTTGGGGTTTTTTGAAACTCTAAAGGATGTCTAGGAGGCATTTTGGCTTCTATTGTTTCAGTATAGCATCAGAAAATACATATTGGTTACATTAGTCAATAGAAAATAGTAATATACTATAATTTCTATATTTTCTTTTTGTAACTTTATTTTTCTCATTTTACAACTACCATTGGATGACTTCTAGCAGAAAAGACAGATTAATAAAAGCATAAACAAACACAACTAAAGAATAAAGGCTGTCTAGGAGATAATCTAGTGTCCGACTGCTAACAGGACCATTTTATGAACATCAAGGGTTACACAGTAATGCATAATATAGATATGCATACATATCATCCTCATAAGTGTTTGTGCTAGTTGTCCTAATGGGGTTTTAAGATCCATTTCCCCCAGTATTTTGTAAAGTATTCCATCTTCAGTTATAACATAAGTGTAAGTCTTTCCACTTTCATAGACAATTTCAAGTCATCATTTCTTTGCTGGGGGGTCCTGCTGCTTCCACTTTCTTGTTATGGTCTTTTTATTAGCTACCAATAATATTTTGAGCAGGCATTTATCATTCTTCACTACTAACTGGAGTACTCTCCCAAAATAAAGATTCACCCATGAAAACTCATACATAATTCCAAATAAGTCCCCAATAGCATTTCCAATCTCTTGCCAAAAAGACAATTATTGTACAGCCCCAGAAAGTATGAAAATTATCAGCCATTTGGGTACTGCACCGTCTCCAGCATTGTCCCTGGTGACTTCTTTTAGGAGTATAAAAAACCTAATCAAACATTTCTGATTAAATTCTGCTTAATAATCTTAAATATGATGTTGAAGCTGTCCATCAGCAGGAGTTATCCCAATCTTGTCCAAGATTGACACATTACATTTTTTTTCCCATTTTAATATTATATATGAAGTTGAGTCTTCTTTGGTTATTTGGTGACTCCTGTATACACTATTATTCTGTTAAACAAGTCTCCACCTGCACAGCTATTTTTTGCCTCATGCCAGGCTTTCACAAAGTGAGACAGGTCTCTGCTGCAGGCAGGTCAGTCTGGCATCAGTACTCTCTGATTATGCAGCCATACTGTAACATGCAGAACATAGCTTGGTTTTCTCATGTCGAAATATCTAAAATATGCTTGTACGTCTCTGAAAAAGACGGTGTCCAGAAGGCAGCATGTTGCTTCAAAATGTGTATATAAGCTCCCTGGACAACAAATTAGTCACCTTGCATGTTTAAGGTGGTAGTAACTTCAGGCTCCTGCAGACGCCGCTGCACGAGGATGATCGGGCTATATATACCTGCGAGGTGTGTGACTGAATTCATAGTTTGATAAGAAGTGGTACAGTGCGGTGAATCTCTCATTTGATGTGTGGAAAATGGGTCGCAAAGCAGATGTTAATGATCGGCAAAAAGGAGTGATTGCATGTGGGTGTGCCAAAGACCATAGTATTAAGGAAGTAGCTGAATTTGCAGGTGTTTTGAAACATACATTCATACGGGTCGACCAGCAGTGGCAAAAATCCCAGTCTACAGGAAATTCTCTTAATAATCTTGCATATAATGTTGAAGCTGTCCATCAGCAGGAGTTATCCCAATCTTGTCCAAGATTGACGCATTACATTTTTTTGTACATTTTAATTTTATATATGAAGTTGAGTCTTCTTTGGTTATTTGGAGACTCCTGTATGTACTTGAAATCGGTCTCCTGTTATCCTTCAGCTTGTAGATATTAATAACCCCGTCCTCATATCTAATCTTCCCTTAGGCTGTTCTGGAGCTTTGGCTCGTGAGTTAGCTAAAGCCTACACTGCTTCCACGGTTACGGTTCTGGACCTGCCTAAAGTGGTCCAAACAGCCCAGAAACACTTCAGTCAAGGCGACGACACCATCCACTTTCATGAAGGTCAGTGAGGTTCTGTTCAGACTCACATACAGTGACAGACGTGGCCATTTCTTTTCCTGTGTGAGTTACAGTACCTGTCAAAAGTTTGGACACACCTACTCATGGGTACTTTTGCTTATTTTTAGCATTTTGGACAGTGAAGTATAACAGTGAAGACATCAAAGCTGTGCAGTACCACATATGGAGTTATACAGTGACCAAAACACATCCACATCACTGTTTCCACTCCTGTTGGTCCACCTTGTAGATGTAAAGTCAGGGACGATAGCTCATCTGCTGCTGCACAGTTTGTGTTGGTCATCCTCTAGTCCTTCATCAGTGGTCACAGGACGCTGCCCACAGGACGCTGTTGGCTGGATGTTTTTGGTTCTCAGTCCAACAGCGACACTGAGGAGTTTACAAACTCCAGCAGCCCTGCTGTGACTGATCCACTCAGACCAGCGCAACACACACTAACACACCACCACCATGTCAGTGTCACTGCAGTGCTGAGAATGATCCACCACCCAAACAGTACCTGTGGGGGGTCCTGTGGGGGTCCTGACCATTGAAGAACAGGGTAACAAAGTATGCAGAGAAACAGATGGACCACAGTCTGTAACTATAAGTGCTCTTATATGGTAGTGGAGCTGATAAAATGGACAGTGAGTGTAGACACAAGGAGGTTGTATATGCTCATATGCTAATGAAATATTGATCACAAAAAGACAGAAGAACATCCATTCAGGCATGTAGGTCCAAACATTTGACTGGTACTGTAAATGATCAGAGTTAATTTCTCATGGTCATTAATGGACAGCCTCATTACTTATTATTTACGGTGTTGAGGATCTGGACTCATTTTAATGGAGAGATTTAATGTATGTGTGCGTATAAAGGGGACTTTTTTGAAGAGGACCTTCCTGCTGCTGATCTGTACGTCCTAGCGAGGATCATCCATGACTGGAAGGAGGAGAAGTGTCTGACGCTGCTGAAGAAAATTCACGCAGCCTGCCAGCCAGGTGAGCTCAGACGCCAACACAAGTGACCATCACCACATAATAATAATAATAATAATAATAATAATAACAACAACAACTAGAATAGTGCATTTCCTGAAGAAAATGCAGTGATTGCACAGCTTAAGTGCTTTGAGAACGGTTGCTAAGTTGTTGCCAAGCGGTTACTGTGGTATTTTATATGGTTGCTATGGTTCCTGATGGTAGCTGTGGAATTCCAGGTGGTTATTGAGGTGTTGCTAGGTGGTTGCTGTAGTATCCCATGTGGTTGCTAGGGTGTTGCTAGGAGATTGCTATGGTATCCAAGGTGCTTGCTCATTGCGCATTGCAAAGCACCCATAATGATAATAATAATAATAATAATGATAATAATAAGTTACATTTATATAGTGCCATTCACAATCCCAAGAATCCCACTTTACATAACAAAGAACACACAAAAAAATCACTTCACATTGTCCTTCGCATAAAACACATCGACTGGTGATGTTCCTGCTTTCTTATGTTTTTTCTTATGCCAAGACATGTTTGCTTCTTTACTTTTAGCACACAGACTGCACTGAGTTAAGTAACCACAGTAGTATCAACCATCTTGAAGCCTGAATTTTGTTCATACTTTTGTCTTTATTTTTTTTTCAGAATTGGATTCCATTTAGTTCTGTTCCGGAACTATTACTGTGTAAAGTTACAGGCTGTCAAAGCATTTTTAGATTTTCTCTCCGTGTCTCAGCTCAGATAAACTCAGTGAAGCACAGTGAACCTAGTTACAGTCCTCTTTCTATTTTTTTCTCCATCAATCTTTTTTTGTCTGTCTTTTTCATTCTATTTCTCTTTATCTTTCTCTTTTTTCACACTTGCTCTTTCTATCTTTTTCTTGCTTTCTTTCTCTCTCACTCTCACCCCTCTCCATCACTCTCTTTTCTCTGTTTGACACGTGGGTACGTTTCAGGTTAGGGTGCAAAAGTGGGCGTTTATTGAATCTCAGTGAAGAAAACAAAAAAAATGTTATTTATCCAGTGCAAAAAAAAAGGAAAAGAAAATCAATGAAACTCAATATTTACAAATTCACTATAAAAACTCACCAGACAAAGGCTACTGTTTTGCTCCCTGGATGAAAACATGGCTACCTTCCTCTGGAATCTATTCACAGGTAAGTACTTTTGCCTTCTTATTTCATTTAGTTACTCAATTAAATCTTTCTTGACTTCCCCAAGTGTTCAGAAATATAACAGTGCTTAAACTGTTTAGTTATATTGCTAAAGCAAGCAACATTAACTCTTAACATTTTTATAAATAAAACAGTTCATATTCAACATTAAGTTTTTTCCTCTGTTTTCCCCCTGCAGGTTTGCTCTTATTCACCATTCAACCTCAGCTTTCCAGCATAAACACTATCAATCAATAAAGGCTATTTAAAAACAGCATGTGTCTGACTCTTTGAATATTACATAGAAAGTCTTTGCAAATATATATTGTGGCGGAGGGCAGCTCCGTCACACTCACTCTTTCATGTTCTCACTATTTCTCTTTTTCTCTATTTCTTCTTTTTTTTCTTTTACTCTCTCTTGCTTGCTGCCTTTGTCTCACTCTCACTCCTTTTTCTTTCTCACTCCCTCTCCAATGCTCTCTTTTATCTCTTTTTATCGTCCTTTTTCTTTCTTTGTTTTTTCCGCTTGCTCTTTCTATCTTTTTATTTTCTCACTTTTTCTTTATCTCTTTCTCTCTCACTCCTTCTCCATTACTCTTTTCTCTCTATTTCTTACTCTTTCTTGCTCGCTCTTTGTCTTTTTCTCACTGACTCCTTTTTCTTTCTCATTCCCTCTCCATTGCACTGTCTCTTTCTTTCTCTCTGTCTTGCTCACTCCATCTCTCTCTGTTGTTTCTCACTCTCTCTCTCTCTCTCTGTTCTCTTTTTCTGCTTCTTTCTCTATTTTCTTTTTTCTTTTTCTTGCTGACTCTGTATCTCTCTCACTCTCATTCCCTTTTCTCTTTCTCACTCCCTGTCCATTGCGCTCTCTCTCTCTCTCTCTCTCTCTCTCTCTCTCTCTCTCTCTCTCTCTCTCTCTCTCTCTCTCTCTGTAGGTGGAGGTGTTCTGCTGGTGGAGGCTCTGCTGTTTGAGAACCACAGAGGTCCCACCATGGCTCAGATCTTTTCTCTGAACATGCTGGTTCAGACGGAGGGGAAGGAGCACCCCCCTTCGCGGTACACGCACATGCTCACTGCAGCCGGCTTCTCCGACGTGCAGGTGTGCAGGACGGGCAAATCCTACGACGCCATTCTGGCTCTCAAATGACCTCACACACACACACACACACACACACACACACACACACACACAATATACACCAAGGCTGCATCCCAAACGGCTCAGTATTGGACATCCAGTGCACTATTTAGGAAGAAGCCATGAGTTTTGTGACTTCTGTAGTGTACTACATATGAAGCACAAAGGCATTTGGGAGCACATACTTCATCACATATAATATAATCACATTTACTGGATTCTAGTGTTTAAAAATCAGTGCAGTTCAATGACCACCTTCAGACCAATGGATCACACTGCATTTTTATACACCTAGGAGTCACTAAAAAGTGTTAAATTCCACTGATGTTTCAAAATATACTTACTTTTTTCAAAAAATACTTACGATATACACAGAGTCATTCAGAGTGGTTTGGTGTGAAATGCTCTGTCCTAGAGAAACTTACAGAGTCAGAATTGTTCACAGTGGTGGTGATAGGAACCAGACGTCCACCTCTAAACGCTCCCTCACAAAAAGTTATTACATGAAATGGTTAGGAATACACTGCCTGATGTCTGAGACACTGTTTTAGGACTGTTTTGAGAAGTCCATTCATGGTGGAGGGATACATGTGAGGCAAAATAGTCCCCAAAAAAAAGATTATTTCAGATTTATCACTATTTTTGTGATTTTGGATAGTAATAAAATGTCTACATTTTTTTTGTAGTCATAGTGACACATAGTGACAGAGTTCCTATCACCACCACTGAAAAGACATCTGAGTGTCTACAATCAACCACTTCACATTGAATGACTGTTTACATCCCAATGGTTGAATTATGCAGACATTTAGTAAATATGGTGGATTTCCCCGTTAATTACAAGGTTTAGTAAGTCCATGTGGACTTGTCAGCAGTGCCAAATTTGCACGGGGGTGTAACTCCAGCTTTGTAGGGCCATAGCACTGCACATTTCAGTGTTTTCCAAGCTCACACAAAACACGCTCAGATCAAGGTCTTCAGGATGTTGGATCTTAATATCTAAATATTAGAGCCAGGTGTTGAAGGTTATGGTCACCTTGATGATTTTCCTGCTCAAACATCGGATTCATCCGATTAGCTAATTTCTGAGTTTGGTCAGTTAGAGCACTGGCCATCCAGGATTTAAAACATCTCCCTTAAAACATTTCCATCCTAACCTGTGTGTGTGCCTATAGGACTAGTTTTGCACAGGAGCTACGAGGCTAATGTAGCTAACAAGCAGTGGAAGCTTATACCCCACAAATTAGCATGATGCTATCTACATGCCCAAACCCTCATATACTCTGTAAGACTTAATTATGTGGTTTCTGACACAATCATGCAGACAAAATATGACATACTTTTGTCCATGAGTTATAGCTGAAATGTTGGTTTTTCACTTAAAGGGGAATTCCACCAATTTTTGAAAAATTAGATGTAATTCAACTGAGATGTAAACATAGTCATTCAGAGTGGTTTGGTGTGAAATGGTTCAGATGTCTTTACAGTGGTGCTGGTAGGAACCAGGGGTCTCCATGACTACAACACAAATATAGACATTTTATTTACTATCCAAAACCACCAGTGAACCTACACGAGTTTTATGTGTAATGTTGATGATGCAATGATGTGCAAACCATTTAAACACGATTTTCAATTGAAAATAGTACAAAGACAACATATTAAATGTCGAAATTTATAAATGTTATTGTTTTTTGAAAAATAGATGCCCATTTTGAAACAGGATTGTAACAAGTTTTCTTTGGGACTACTTTGCCTCAGTATGCCCTGCATGTATCCCTCCAACATAACTGGATTTGAAGACCAAAATCTCCTCAAAACTATCATAAAACAATGTATCAGGCAGTGAATTCATAACCATTTCATGTAATAATTTTCTGTGAGGGAGCTTTTACCACTGTGAACAATTCTGACTCTGTAAGTTTCTCTAGAACAGAGCATTTCACACTAAACCACTCTGAATGACTCTGTTTACATCTTAACCACTTAAGTATGAAGAATATTTGGAAAATTAATGGAGTTTCTATTTTAACTCATTAAAGAAAGCGCACAATGAAACAGTTTAGGGTAAACACAAATGACTAGTGTTATTGCAGTGACTGCAATCATATCTGTGCAGATTTTCCACAAACGTCACTTCACATACAAATCAAAGCTTGTTTCTCTCAGTTCTCTGATGACCTTACAGTCCTGCTGTGTTCGGATCCTGACTGCAAGTGTTTGTTATACTTGATATTTTGCATTTTAACATGTTTGAGTGATGAATCCATGCATGTTGAGAAACCATGATTATTACTCTCTCCCACTAGTGAATCACATACAGTATCAGTCAAAAGTTTGGACACATCCACTACCTACTATTTAACGCATTTTATAATAATAATGAGGACGTCGGAACTATGCAATAGTTCATATGGAATGACTCTAGTCAAAAATACTGGCCCTCTGCCTCCCAGGGCTGTTTAGACTCCCTCATCACAACGCAGCTGATTGAAGGAAATGCATTAATGAAGACAGACATTCCACTGATTCAGGGGGGAAACACATAATAATTTGGATGATGTAATAATTGCAGTTCCAACTCTAGATGTCCTAAATGAAAACAATATGTGAATAAATTCATACATCATCATCCATTTTGACATATGTATTCGTCTTAAAAACAATTCCGAAACTTTTATACAAATGCTTTAGATGGCAATGTCTGTGAAAACTGAAAAATATACAGTCAGGTGTGTCCAAACTTTTGGACTAAGCAGCACTTTGAGAAGTAGACAGCAGTGATTACGTGTCAGTATTACATTCTTTAAAAGATGGTTCTTTGAGGGTTCTTTAGTAAAGGGAATGGTTCTATTTAGAACCATGGGTTCTATATAAAACATTTGCATGCTTATATGGTTCTTTGTGTGGTGAAATGCTTCTTCAGATTGATGGAGTGTGCAAAAAGAGTTCTTTTATTTTTACAAGTCTGACATCGTAAACAATAGTAGAACGCTTTTTAGTGCTACATAGAACTCTGAGGAACAGTTTCACCATGCAAAGAACCATTTAAGCATGAAATGGTTTTATATAGGGCTCCCTTTTTCTAAAGAACCCTTTAAGAACCATATTTTGTATAGTATACAGTATGTTGCAGTTTTTTTGGTGGGGGGTATTCTTAAGGTGTGTTTTTAAAATTCAGAATATCTGAGTCTGAAACAGTGTTTCTCCTTCTATCATGTTGGGAATATCCAGCACTGACCACACCTCATAATATCAGCTTTCCTGCAATCATCAGTCCTCATAGGAAATTACTTGAATTTTAATGTAAACACTGTTTTTTTTTATGTATCCGTTGTCCCACAAATAATTTCTAATAAAACAACACAATGGAAAAAAAAACAGCTAGTTGTGTAGAGTGTGGATTTTTACTTAATCAACTAATGTTAGTTTGATGCTTTAGCGCCCTCTGGTGGCAGTGCAGGCTGATACAAGCACCAATAACGCAACACACTTTAATTCAATCTCTGTTTTTCTGTCCATCTTCCCTCCCAATTTTTTATATATGTAATAAAACAGGATATATGATCCTGAAGCAGCAGCACAAACCGTGGAAAAAAAGCTGGAGATGCAGAGGAAATTTATTTTCTACTATTCTTAATTACAGAGTTACTGTTAGTTAGAAGCTTTGGCGCCCTCGGGTGGCAGCTCAGGATGATGCGTACAGTAGCGACGCAACACATTGACGCATCCACTGGTTTTCTACGTAATTGTTCTCCCAGTTAAAATATATAAGCTTGGCGTGAGAATTTTGTAGTAAAATGACACAAATAAATTAGTAATGTACAGTGTTATTTTTATTTACTGAATCTGTTTGAGGTTTGCCACTTTGGTGCACGGTGGTGCAAGAAAAACAGCAAATTTTGAGGCACCCACTGTTTTTTTTTTTTGCTCCCCAAAAAAAAAGATAGATATTCCTGACACAGCACAAATACTTTATAATAAAACAGTTTTTGAAATTATGAATCAATCATGTTGCATTTTGGTGCCCTCGGGTGGCAGTGTAGGGTGGTGCAAAACCGACATAACACGTTTTTAAGCACAAAAAGTCCCAGCTGAGATATATAATCCTGACTATTTTGTAAAAAGATAACACAATGAAAAAAACATGATTATGTAACATTTAGTATATGTATTTTAAAACAAGTTACAATTGCTTTATGCCTTGGTGCCCTCTGGTGGCAGCGCGGGGTGATGCAAGCTGCAGCAACGTAACGCTTTTAAACGCACTCACTGTTTCTCCCCCACTGTTGTTTTCTCTCTTAATTAAGATATATAATTGGAAGGTAGCACGACTACAAAAAATAGTCCTATAGAGAGCAGCTTTGTTTTATTTATTTTTTTCATTAAGGTAATGCAGCATGCAGCACTGATATTACAGGTTTTAGGCCACCTAAGTTTATCTTTTCTCCCAATTGACATATATATTCCTGGAGCGGAGTGGATTTGTTGCAATAAGACAACAGAATGGAAAAATGATCTTGCAGTGTGTATTATATTATAGTATAAATTTTACTGCTATTTCTGTCTCCCTCTGGTGGCAACAAGGGGTAATGCAAGCACCACTAGCATAACACGCTTTAAGGCACCCAGTTTTTTTCTGTGTATGTTTTCTTTTCTTAAATAAGATATATAATCATGAAGCAGCACGGGTATTTTGTAGTAACACGACAGAATGGGAAAAATGATTGTGTAGCGTATATTATATTCATTATCTTAAAACGAATAAAATTACTGTTGTTTTTGTCTCCCTCCGGTGGCAGCGTGGGGTGATGCAAGCAGGAACGACATGGCACTTTTTAAGGCATCCATTGTTTTTCCCCACTGTTGTTTTCTCTCCTAATTAAGATCCAGCAGCCAGACTACTTTGTGATAAGATACAACAAAACAAAAAAGTCGTATAGATAACAGTTTTGTTTTTATTTTCACAAATGACTAATACTGCAGATGACCCTTTGGCGCCCTCGGGTGGCAGCTCGAGGTAATGCAGGGAAGCGACACAGCACATACGTACGTAACTCGTGTGTGTGTGTGTTTTTCGAGTGTGTGCGGGGTGGGGAGGCGACAATCTGCTACCGTGCCGCCCGAACTCAAACTGTAAGCAGCTCCATTGGCCATAGCCACATAGAAAACGCCAACGCAGGACCTGCAGCGCCTCGGCCATGTAGGTACCAAATAAACCGCGTTTCATAGCGTTATGTTCGCCGTTTGTGACGCCGCCGGAGCAGCGGAGCGTCCACCGGGCTCCAAGCTTTCGCTCTCGGGGGGGTTATTTTTTTAACCTTTAAGCTTTTTTAGCCGAAGCGAGACGGGCCGGGGCTGGAAATGTAGTACGTCATTAAAATGGCGCCAAAAGATTAAGTTCAGGGGGGCAAATACATGAAGAAATATCACCCTCTTCTGACCCGGCCGAGGGTTTTAGACTCAAATCCCCCTGAACTGCACGATTTTGGGGCGATATCTGCATCTAAACATGTATTGAAGTCAGCTTGTTAATCGCCAGCTTCTTGTTCGAATTTTCCCGTTCCACCTTAAATGCTGCAGCACTTACGTTCTGACGCCTCAGCCTCCAGACTGCAAGTGCTGCACCATTTAAGGTGGAACGGGAAAATTCGAATAGGAAGCCAACTTCAGCCTCAGCCTTTTTTTCCTTTTTTGCATTATTTGCCTGCTTCAAACTTTTCTTTAGCACGCAGCACTAACATGAATAAATCTAAAAAAAATAGCATTTTATTCCTCTTGACTCTGTTTATGCAGCATTAGAGTGCAGTTCGTGCTAGTTTGGTGTTTAAATATTGTGACTTCTCTATGTAACGTTACAGTAAACTTACTCCCATCACAGGAGCCATTCAGATGATCAGAAGCCCGAGATGGAACTATATTTATTTTAATATTGATCATCTCACTTTTTAAATACATGTTGTTTACCAGCAGCTCCAAACAGCTGCAGGCAAGTTTAAGGAGAACGGCATGTTTTATTCACCTTCGGGTTAAAGTTGCGCCGTTAAAGTCGATCGGTTTTACAAACTGACTATAAATCCGCTCCGCAGTTTGTTGCAAATGTTATGAAAAATGATTAAATTTGAGAATTAGCGGAGTTTCTCATTTTTGGACAGGCACTGGAATGGACAGCTATGCCGTGTAAAGAGGGGCTGGAAGGGGGCGTGGCCTGTGTGTGAGAGAGCGAGGCGGGGGAGAGAGACACTGAGAAAGAGCGGGTTTCTGTTTTTAGCATTTGTCGCTTTTTCCTTCAGGTTTAACACTTCATTCCTGAAGAGAAGTTCGCTTTATTTCTTTGTTTTTTTTGTGACTAAAAATAATTGCAATAAAAATGTAAGTTTTAACACTGCGTACTCCGTGATAAAGATACACATTTAAAATAAAAATAGTTAATAAAAAATAAAAATCCAAAAAGTTTTTTTTAAGTAAAATAAATATAGCAGGCATTTACGTTGTAACACTGCATACTCTGTGATAAAAATAAAAATTGTGATAAAATTTTAAAATAATTTTAAAATGTATGTTTCCAAGTTTTTTATTTTTTTATCATTTAAAAAAATAATAAAAATGTACATTTAACACTGCCTACTCTGTAAGAAAAATTAATTAGTGAAACAAAAAATCAAACAATTAAAAAAAATCCAAACTTCATTTTTAACTTAAAAAATTGTAATAAAATGATAATTTTTGAGAACATGTACAAATTTATTTAAAAAATTCCAAAATTCATTTTTTAACTAAAAGTCATTTTAAAAGTGTAGTTTTAACACTGAATACTCTTGTGGTAAGAATAGCATTAATATCTGCATTGACTTGTAAACATTGTATTTGTAAACGCACAACAAGTCTGTTTGCTTGTTTTTTTTGTTTTGCTTGGTTTGTTTTGTACTGTTTACCCCAATAACGAAACACCTGCTAAATCACAGTGATAATTCTAGAGGTTTGTTGCGTCATCCGGACCCCTGCCCCCGAACTGAGCTCACGTGACCCAATCGGAATTGTCGCGTGAAGTCATTGTGACGTGTAAGGTTACTGATGACACAACAGAAGTGTTTTAGATCTTTCAGTGATATTACTGGACCAAACACGATGTGTCTTTGAGCTTAAAGACATGTAGGCTGATTATTTTTAGTAGTGGTATTATTATTTTGTTGGTGCTGTGTTGTAGGGGTGGTCTATATGACAATAATTTACCATTATTGTGATAATTTGTCACAGTGTGTTTTTCAGAGCATATCATGGATATCGTCAGTACAGAATGAACACAGACTAACTGAATGTTTTGTTACAATGTGAGCATAATTAGTCCTGTTTAATTAGATTTAGTGCAGCACAGTTATAAATAAAATAATAATAACAATTAGTTATAGCTGTATGTTTATTATTGGATTACATGTTATATTGTATAAAATTGGATTTTGCCTTGAAGTATTGTGATTTTTTTTTTTGCCATATCGCCCACCTCTACTATGTTATTACTGCTGTTCTGTGATACTAAAAATAGCAGCAGCTATAATGATTATAGAATAATAGTTGTTATTTATGGTTATTATGTAGAGATTGGAGATATGGCAAACATAACATCACAACACTTAAAAGCATTTTTCAGCACACAATGTGCATCACAAAGTTTTTCTGATGTTTGATAAGTTGATACAGTTACTATGTTTAATGTTAAAACTTGGAACATTTTCCAGCCTCTCTGTATCTATTAAACTCAAACAGGCTGTTTTTGTTACTGTCCCTTTAAGACAGGACATATGTAAATACAGCAGAGCTGACTGGCTATTCAGTGCCTTATTCAGAAAGCAGGGCTGAAACACTCCATATAACTTCAGTGTGAATGGGTGGAGCTAAACTGTTGTAGGCTGAATAAGTGAATGTCTGACATCACACAAAAAATGTATTTAATTTAAATGATTTTGCAGCTTAATTTCCATATATGGACTGGAGAGTGTACAGTATGCTTTAGCAATGTTTACATAAAAATTTTATTTAAAAAAAAAAAGGGAGGAAAATTTGGTTTTAAATGATACCAGCCATTTAATTACTGACAGTATTCAGGATGTGCTCAGAAATTAATGTCTACATGTATTATTATTATTATTATTATTATTATTATTATAGCAATTATCAACTTCTAATATTTATGAGTGTGTTTATTTCTGAGCTAGCAGTATTTACACATGAACAGATGTTTATCATGCTGCTGGTTGAGTCTGTTGAAGCTCCTCATGCTGGTATCGGTCAGCTGTGTTATGAGCAGCTTGATGGGAGACACACGGCGGTCGTGGCCATTAGCTAATGTCCGAGACCATCTGTGCATTGTGTTTGGGTTTAAAATGAAACTGCTGTGTGCAGATTGGTGAGGCGTCGGGAGACCGCGGGGGTGCTGACCATGAAGCGAAACCGAGTGCCCAGCACCAGCGAGGACTCTGATAATGGAAGTAAGCACTTTTTCAGGTTTTGCTTTCGTCTTTCATTCTCTGTCTGCCCTTCTCTCGCTCCTCTCTTTCTTTCATTCTTCCTCTCGTAATCAAGTGAGGAGAACAGAGCAGCCTGCCTGGTGTAGTGCAGCTTTTCAAACCCACATGTTTACGTTCAGGACAGTCGCAGGCCAGGTGTGCACAGGAGGCGGAGAGAAACTCACAGGTGGAGAGGAGGCTCAGGCAGCGGTTCTGGAGGTTCACAGAGGTTGTCACAGGTCAGGGTAGAAGTCAGGGTCACTATGATTAGGAGAGCTGTGAATGAGTCATTGATCAGCCAGTGAATATAGTTAACTATAGCTGTGTTAATTTTACTGATCGGTACTTCTGAAGCCTGCTAAAGGGCTGATATTCTACATTTTTCTTGGGTTTTATTTTAATTTTTTGTGGTATACAATTTTAACAATACTTGTCTCCATCCCTTATACATTATACAGGTATAATGTATTGTATTGTGTTGCGCCTTATTTTAATAAGCATCCAGACTGAAACACTCCTTAGAACTTCAGCATGAATGGGCGGAGCTAAACTGCTGTGGGGAAATTCTAAGAAAATTATATGTAAAATATTTATTGATAGTAAGTCTTTACCCAGAAATAAACATGAATACATACAATATTAATATACAAAATAGTGATTTTATGTCTGTAAACACATTAGCTAAACCCTTTCCAAACGTCTTGTCATGAGAACCTGCTATTGCTTTCGTTTCTTTAAATTAAATCAGGTGCTGTTTTGAGCAAACCCAGTGAAGGCTGGTGCGTGCTGAGAGGTCAGGAACCAAACGTGTGTCGTACTACTTTGAAAACAAAAACTTCTTGCTAGTTTTTACTGTATTTATGTTTATTTATATTAATGTTCTGTAGTGGTTTTAGTGGAAGACGGTTTGCTAACATTTTCACAAGACTGTATGTAAATGTGTTTGTGACATCACAAAAACAGTTCATTCAAAACTTCCAGCTGAATTACCATTAATGGACCACATGAGGAGTGAATAGAGTGTTCTGAAGCTTTAGCAATGTTCATAAAATCTTATTTCAACAATAATCTGCAGAAAATGTCCATGATGTGGGCCATTTAAGGTTAACCTTCTCAAGTCCAGTCCTGGGGTTCCCCCACTCCACAGCTTACTGACTCTCCAGATCATACTTATTTCAAACTCTAGAACTGAGTCAACTTTGTTGGAACATGCCTTACACGGAGTCTCCCACTGAAAGCTGACCTTTAGGCTCACAGTTGTTGCCAGTTAGCATCGTGGCAACTGCACAAACGTATGTTGTTTGTAGCTACAAACAGTAGAAGCTGTCTTGAGGGCTGCATTTCATCCAATTTTGTGGGTAATAGTCTGTCATAGAGTGCCAAAAAAGCACACAGGCAAGTATAAAATTCCTGTAGAAGCTTCAGCTTTTCACTAGAAAAATTAACAAAGTGAACTTAGGACACCAATTGTGTCTCGGCTGATTGCATTCAGAGTAAAGGAGCGAAAAACTGCGCATTTGATTTTTCACCAAACTATCGCTTTAATGAGGTGAAACAGGTGCACTGGAGGAGGACCTATAATCTGGACAGGGTGAAGAGTGCTGGATTGTCCACAGGGCCACCATGAGAAAACGGCTTTGCTTGAATTAATGATGATCAGTTTGTTTTAATTGTACAAAGTTTTTAAATTGTACTTTACCAAGTTTTTAAAAGTTCATGCTCATCAGCCTTTTTCTAACTGGGGACCCAAAACAACCTACAAGTAATTGTTTTGGGATTTTTCCTTTAAATGTGAATTTGCTATTGCTAACAGGCTATAAAAGTTCTGAAAGATCTCGTTTGAAAAATGCGAACTGTTTCCTCCTGGTTTTAATTCAGTTTTGGGGACTTTAGCTTTTCTTCAGCTGTACATTAAAACTGCTCTGTCTGTCATCTGCCTGGTTGAGCGGTATTCACTCATCTCTCTCTCTCTCTTGTTCTGTTGTCTAGGTAACTGCACGTCGTGGTCTCAGATGTCAAACTCTCACAGGAGACGAGATGGGAAGAGACCCTCTGAGGTACCGTCCCCCTCACGCTCCATCATCCAATAAGATTATTTTGTACTCATTTTAGGAATTTGCTGAACTGTTACTGAACTTTTTAGAGCTGTTGCATTCAAGGCATGTGATTAAGTGTGATCTTGTAATAATTCACACATATTTTTACTGTAACATTAACATATATTTAGCGGATGCCCTTATCCAGAGCGCCTTACTGTAGCAAAATCTTATTCCTCAGAAATTTAAAAGATGTGGCTTAAGTACAGCAAAGCATGAGGAGTAATATTGAATTTTCATAACTCATGAAGTGGATGGTGCTCTAAAACCTGGACAAATAGCTGCCACATGTAGAGATGAAAAAAATGGACTTTCTCCACTTTGGTTCTACTATTTTAGAACAGCAGGAGAGAACAAGAGCAACAGAATGTAGAATGAAGCATGAGATAATAGTCATTTCAAGAACTCCTTGGTTTGTTTATGCTTGAAACCAGATACAGATATAATAATTAATATCTGCCAGTTGTTTGTCGTAACATTAGTGTTTACTGCAGAAACTTTGCCATTCGCTTTATAAGAAGTATTGAATTACCAGTTAGCTGCTGGCATAAAGCTAACCTCTGCTACCATCCCTATGGGGATTTGTGGTGTTGTTAGCACCCAGCTAGCAGTGTTGTATATTGTCACATTTAATGCCAATTTTAGCTTAAACACAAGCATGGGAAGCTCAGGTGAAGGCATAAAAGTAACACATTCTTTATATGCAGTTTTAGTGTGACTTTTCTGGAAAGGTCTGAATTTGAAGGAGCCATTTGGCTTATTAGCTAGAAGAAAGTTGAGTTATGAAGGATGTAACATGTAACACTGGTTAAAAAATAGTCAACAGTGACCAGTGATGTTCAGTTCTTCATTGGGTTGCATTTTATAGATAGATTTGAGCAAGAACAGACTTTTTCATGCTGTGAATTGGTGCAATACTGGAGAATAATTTTGGGCAGCGTACCCCTTTTACAAGGACTCAGCAGGCAGACTAATGAAAGCACAGAAAAAAATGCTTTAGAGAAATGATCGATTCGTCATAGCATGTTCACACATTTTAAAAGGCAAATTAATGTTCGAACACATGGTACATAACTGCTAGTTTAGCATAACGTTTCGCTGTGTGGGTGGTCAGTTGGACAAGTGTAATTTTTGCTTATCTCTCTCCGTCCCGCACACAGGTGTTCAGGACGGATCTTATCACAGCGATGAAGCTTCATGACTCATACCAGCTGAATCCGGAGGAATATTATGTTCTCTCGGACCCCTGGAGGCAGGAGTGGGAGAAGGGTGTTCAGGTTCCTGTGAGCCCGCACTCCATTCCCAAACCCACCGTCCGGTACGCCCACTGTCAAGTGATAGTTTGGTGAAAATCAAGCTTAGACTGTTTTCCCTGTTATCCCAAATAACAAGGGATTAAAATATGTGTCCCCACCAATTAACCTGGTGCTGTATGACTCACTGGTATCTATAAACATAGATTAAACTTGTCTACTACTGCTTTTAGTTGTCTGATGTACTTTTCTCCGTTTTCAGCGACTTCTTATCCACTTTAGTCTCATTTTACTGCTTTTATTCCGGACGTGATGTTTACACTGTAACTAGATGGCTAAAACACCATTAATGGATGTAATGGCTAAAACTGGATTAAACAGTGATAAACTTTGCCTCGGCATAAATTTCGAAATAGAAGTGCTGAATTTCCAGATCGATGAATGGTTTCTCCTCTCTCGTAGCATGGTGGCGGAAAAGCCCTCCTCCTTGTTGTTCACCAGACCGAAGAAGCTGATTCGCTCGTGGGGCGCGGAGGCATCTGCTCTGGGCTACGTGGGTATCGGGGCGCTTTCAGAGGGAACATGCCGTTACGATCTGAACGAGGCAGATGTAGCCTGGCTGGAAGTGGCTAACAAAGAGTTCAGTGCTATGGGTGAGAGATTTGTGACATTCATTACTTCAGCAAAACAAAAACTCAAAAAATTCAGAATTTCACATAATACGGTGGTGTGGTGTCAAGTTACTGTTTCCATTTTCAGCTTATTAAAGCATTCAATGTCAGCCAAGTAACATGCTAGCCACAAGCTAACATGTTAATCACAATACAACAGTACAATGTAATACACTGTCAAACAAAAACACACTGTATTGCATTGTATTATTACATCCCTATTTAGGGCTGAAAATTAATCTTTTTATATCGAAATCCCAAGTTGAAATTTTCTTTTGTGATTTTATAGTCTGCTATCAACAACATTGCTATGTTGCAAGTTTTAAATAAAGGAAATAATGTAATTTAATAATCTAATAACATGGGGCTAGTGAGCAGTTTTTAGATTAATTTGACTAATCAGAAGCAACCAAACATCCATGTGCTGTGACATCACAACCACAGTTAACTGGCAGGCTGTTGTTATTTGACTTAGATATTGTGTTAAGCTTTCAGGCCTTAAGCCAGAAAAAGTATACGCTGGTCTTCTTAGCCCAAAAAAGGCCCATACCTCAATATGTAGAAAACAATTGCAATTTAAATCATAATCACAATATCCGCCAAAGAAAATCACAGTTAGATATTCCTAAAGTGTTCAGCCCTATCCCTAATACTGTACCGTTTGGAATTAATTAATATTAATTCATATGTTAACACATTAATAACTTCTGTTAGTATGTTTAATAAAATATTAAGTTGTAGATTAAATTGTTATTTTGTGTTTTATTTAGTATTGCAAGTTTAGCTAATTTTGGGGGCAACAAAAGGTATTAAATGTAAAATAGGGGGCGGAACGTAATTCTGAATATTAATCTCGTCTTTCTCATTTTAGAAACAGCTTTGTTCATCATTCTGAACACATTTGAAAATATATAATAATTTAATAATATAATTATATGCAGTTGTGCAGGACTGGCATGTTATCTAAATTTTAAATATTGATTTGCAAATTGGTGTTTTATTTCTGAAAATGTCAATTTCAGCTTTTATATGATGTATGTGTGTTATGTTGAAGAGAAAGATGCAGCTGTGTTAAAGGTCAGGTGTGTGTTCTCAGGTATGCAGCTGCTGGACGAGAACACCATGGAGAGGGTCATGGAGGAGTTTGAGCGCTTTTGCTACGACAACATGAATCACGCCATGGAGACAGAGGAGGGGCTCGGGATCGAGTATGACGAGGACGTGGTGTGCGACGTCTGTCAGTCACCTGATGGCGAGGACGGCAACGAGATGGTGTTCTGTGACAAATGCAACATATGTGTGCATCAGGTGAGTGAGAGTCAGAGACTCCGTGCCAGGGCGGTCTCTCATTATTGGCTAAGGGTGTGTGTGCGTGTGTGCTTGTGTGGGACCTGAAGTTTTCCAGAGTGTAATCAGTCCATGAAAATTCGTTAAAAATACTGAATCACAATTTGTGTTGATAAATAAAACTCATGGATTTTTTTGTTTGGTCCATTTTGACCTATACTGTTCAAGCCATGTAATGAGATGTAGTCCTCTGACATTGTGCTTCGTTCTGTTGTAGAGGTGGGCAATATTGCAAAAATGTAACATCACAAAACTTCAAAACTAAAATATATATCAAAATATATATATTTTTTCTGTCATCTGATAAGTAGTGCCATGTTTTAAAGAATACTATTAAAACTATTTAACATTTCACAAACTGTTCCACACTAAAATTAAATATACAACCTATACTCTCTCTATGATCAAACATATATGTTAAATACTGATGATATCCACAATATGCTCAAAAAATTGTGACATTATCATGATAATAAATATTGTCATATTGCCCAGACTTCATGCCCATATTAGGCGGTCTATTTCACAGTTACCAATGGCATAGGGAGAATAAAAGCTCTTACCTAATCTAGTGCTGCCACGGTTAATTTAAATTGATTTCTTGATTTAAAAATAATTAAAATTTACATTCTTGATCAGCTGCCTGAATGATTACTAAGTTTAAATTATAAGCAGGGTATCCGCTGGTCATTATAAAGCCGTGTTTAACATATTCTCCACAAGAGAGAGCTGTTAGTGTGCATCAGTGAAAGAGGGATTCAACATTAATAGGATTTCTCTGTAGTGATAACTTTCATTTATGTGAAGTATAAATGAATGTGTGCTATAAATTGGTTGTATATGATTACTTGATGAATCATCAAATAATTGTACTATTACTAGTGTAATAGACCATGGGAGCCCCAATCCTAACAGCAGCAGCTCTTAACTGTTAGTCATTCTCCATCATGCTTTGTGTATAATTCTAGTTGTTTTTGCTTGAAAAGAGATATGGGCACAAATTGTATAAAGACTGGAGAGAATACAAAATGCTTTAGATTGTGACAATATAAGGCATTGGGTGTGGACGTACAACAAACCCACACTAATCCATGCAATAACCCCAATGTATATGTTTGGTTTATTCTGTGTCTCTCCTGCAGGCATGTTACGGCATCCTGAAGGTCCCTGAGGGCAGCTGGCTGTGTCGGACATGTGCGCTGGGCATCTCCCCTAAATGCCAGCTGTGCCCGAAGAAAGGTGGAGCCATGAAGCCCACCCGCAGTGGCAGCAAGTGGGTCCACGTGAGCTGTGCCCTGTGGATTCCAGAGGTATCAGCACTATATTGAAACATAAGACAGTGTAGTACAATATAATACATGGTACACAGTTCATGTTAGAATAGAAAAGTGAGTAGAGTACAATACATATACACCACAGTACAGCACAATACACAGTGCAATATAATACCGTCACACTTAAAGGTCTCTCGCTCTCTCGCTCTCTCTCGCTTTCTCCAGGTGAGCATAGGTAACCCAGAGAAGATGGAGCCCATCACAAGTGTGTCTCAGATCCCCAATAACAGATGGGCTCTGATCTGCTGTCTGTGTAAAGAGAAGACTGGAGCCTGTATCCAGGTAAATACATAACAGTAATGCTATAATAATAATAATAGTGTTTACTTGAGCCCTGCTGTTTAACATTGACATGGCATGGTTTTGTTAGTTTTATTGTGCAGAGTTAAGTAAATTGTTACCAAATAATGTATCACAGTATTTGAACTATACAATACAGAACAAATTCACTGTAAAACACAAAAAAAGTTTTTCCACTTTTGCATATTTCATATTTATTGCATATTTATTATTTTGACTGTTGCTTCTCTTTTCTGTTTCAATATCCTGCTTTCCTCCTTTCCTCCTTTCCTTTCATCCCTGTCCCTTTCTTTTCTCTTTTGTTCTTCCCTCAGTGTTCTGCTAAAAGTTGCCGCATTGCATTCCACGTGACTTGCGGCCTGCAGTTCGGTCTGAAGATGAACACCATCCTGACGGACGACGACGAGGTCAAGTTTAAATCCTTCTGCCCCACGCACTCGGGCATGGACTGGTCCGACAGCTACGGAGGAGCGAAAGAGGACGGAGGGATGGCGGGGAGGGGGAGAGGTGCGGATGCTGTTTGTCACGCTGACCCGCGCGGAACACACCTCAGCGAGAGAAAGCTCCGCGTCCAGCAGCTGGAGGACGAGTTCTACCGCTTCGTCACTCCCGATGATGTTGCCAAGCACTTGCGGTTGCCGCTGGAGACGGTAGACTTCCTGTTCCAGTACTGGAAGCTGAAGCGGAAGGCGAACTTCAACCAGCCACTCATCACACCCAAGAGAGAGGAAGAGGAAAGCTTGGCGCGTCGAGAACAGGAAGTGCTTCTCCGCAGGCTCCGCCTCTTCACACACCTGCGGCAAGACCTGGAGAGGGTAGGTACCTCACAGGCCACGCCCTTTTGCTCAAATCATTGTCCTGAATCAAAGGGATTGGCTGTTCCAGTGGAAGCCCCGCCCAAGAAGCTAGGGCACCCTCATCGTAGGCACAGGCAGGAGGAACCAGTGAGAGTTCAGGGCAGTAAGAGTGGTGGATAAAGCCACCCAGTCTCTGCTGCGGGATTTTTAAAATTCAAATAAACAGCACAGTGCAGAACACAGGAGCTTGGATGCTATTTCGTATATTAAGCAAGTGTGTTTGAGATTACAATGCAAGATAAATGTGTTATGGTTTAGGCATGCAGTATATGTGATGTTAGTAGGTATACATAAACTTCTAGTACTAGCAAGCTGCCTTAGCCTTGGGCTCCCATATGAAAAAGAAGAAACCTTCAGGCACCAAATACGTCTTGGCTGGTTCACAGCTGATTGTTTGTCAGACTAAGGCTTTAGAAAAAGGGAATAGTGCCTGTCCACTGTATTAGAAGCCCTGGGCTTCTGACCAATTTAGTAGAAACCCCTACCTTGTACTTCCTTTCACTTGATCAATTTAATAGAAACCCCTTCCTTGCACTACCACTCACTGGCCACTTTATTACGAGCACCTACCTTTTACTTCCACACACTCGCCACTTCATTAGAAACACCTACTTGTACTTCCACTCATTGGCCACTTTATTAGAAATACCTACCTTATAGGACCAGTATACCAGTGTACAACTACAGACTGTAGCCCATCTTTTTCTACACAATGTCTCTGCCCCCCTCTGAACCTTTCATCATTGGTCAATTTCCTGACCACAGGACCACTGTTGGCCAGATATTATTTAGATCTGCTGATGGTTTAGCTCAAAAATGTTTGTACATTTTTGGGATTTTACAGTCTTTCTTTACAGCATTCTGCAGCTTCTAAACACATCTATTTATACAGTACCATTACTGTATTGCCTCTCTTTAAAAGCTGTGGATGGAGCTTAATAGAAAATATTGTTTGAAAAGTTTTTGTTGGAAAAAGAACCATTATTTAGCTTCAGGATGCTGCTCATTGAGATTCTACGTCTGCAAGGTTATTGTTTAAACCAAGAATGGAAAGGTAAGCTGAGTGCCAGTTAAGGAAAATGTTGCATGTCCTCTTTAGTACTGTACCACATCAGTACATCCGTCTTCAGGCTGGTCCTTGATCACATCCGAGCAGTGTTACCCAATCCTGATCTCTGTTTTATTTCTGAATTCTGGTAACACATCTGGTCCAACTCATTGGTTCAGTAGTGCAGCAGTCCGAGTTCAGTTTCCAGACCTGTCTGTGCCTGGACATTGGTTACGTTAGTAGTTCTGAACTCAAAAGAAATGCAGATCTTCAGGAATATAAGCCGTATAGGACTGCTGTATTCCATTTTAGCGTATTTTATCACTCTGTCTTTAAAATGCATGATGGAGACTGTGTAAAAGTTGGTTGTGTGTGTGTGGACACAGGTGCGGAACCTGACCTACATGGTGACCCGTCGGGAGAAGATCAAGCGGTCCGTGTGTCGAGTGCAGGAGCAGATATTTCATCACCACGTCAGGCTGCTGGAGCAGGGCAGACTCTCTGGTGAGCCCCCTGCTGCACAAGCAGAGATGCTACAGTCAGATGCATCGCAATATTGTAACCCATTGGTTCCCACCCCGATCCTCAGGGCTCTCTGGACGTGCCACATTTTCACTTCATCTCCATGTATTGTGATTTGTGTTGGAGCAAAAATGTGGACTGTCTGGGGAGCCCAGAGGACTGGGTTGGGAACCACTGTTGTAACCCACATGGAACAGTGTGATTCAAAAGGATGATCAGGGAACACTATAATATGAATAACGAAGGAAAGCAGACACATTAATTTAGTCGTCATTTTAGGAAAACGAGAAAAGTTGTAATATTTAATGGCTGCAATAACACCATGTTTGTTTATTTGAGCTGGAAATTCTTCTCTGTCTTTGCTAACACTTGCAGTTGAAGCCAACGTCATTGAGAAACTACCAGAGAGAAACACAGTTAAGCAAATTTTTTACACTTGCAAGTGATCAAACACTATTACATGAACGCTAAGAGCACCAGGAGGGCTATTTTTAGGACTGTTTTGTAAAGAGTTTGCTAATGTAACATTAGCCAGCTAACAAAATAAATACTTTATTTTTATTTATTATTTTGTGGTTTAGTTGAGTCTTTTCGTCTTGATCTGCTGCTGTGAGCAAAATATTCCTGCTATTAAAGGTCCCTATCATTGAAAATGTTCCTTCTTTAAATAAAGGAGTGAAGTTATATGTAAATATTTTTTAAATAAGTTTCAAAATATACCATTTACTTCCCAGTACTTATATGCAAGCTTTGCTGCAAAAACAGCTAATTTTAAGTTCACTGTTACTGTCATGTCACCAGAACCAACTCATTTACATATATCCACCTATACAGCATACAGTGGTTTAGCTCCGCCCACTCACTCTAAAGTTATAAGGCATGTTTCAGCTCTGACTGTCTTTTGAATGAGGCACAATATAGACCAGCCAACCAGAACGGAACTCATTTACATATATCTTTCTTAAAGGCACAGTAACAAAAACAGCCTGTTTAATTCTAAGGGATAAAGAGAGGTTGAAAAATGGTGACGTAAAAATGAATTATGACATTTTTCTATTCATCTCTCTCTCTTTATTTGCATTTCAGGTATATCTTCCACCAGGCGATTAGAGGAGGCGATGTTCTACTTCCGGGCTGCGTCCACGTCTCCGCAGCCTCTGAGAGGCCATGCAGCTCAGAACAGCGCCACCGAACACTCGCAGAGAAAGGGTGTTCTGCGTCACGGAGCCTCCAAACGAGGTCACGACGAGGAGGAGGAGCCAGCCAAAGTGGCCGGGGCGGAGTCTTCGATTCTGGGGAAGCTGTCCAGCCCAGAGGGGGTCCTGGACGCTGGCTGTGGTGGTACTGGACGGGTGCAGGGGAGCAAAGCAGACCCAGCTACAGCAATGTACTCGGGGACCAGAGGGGGGCGCGGTGAAAATGTAAGGAATGAAGCAGGGCGCCCTCTAGAGGAGCGAAGGAGGAAGAGGAAGAGCATGGTGTGGGTACAGCTGCCAGCCAGAGAGAAACATAAGTCTGGATCAAAGGTGATGGAGGAGACACATGTTGTGGATCAGAACAGTGTGACAGAGGGGGAGGTGGAGGTTGATGGCAAAGAATCCAGAGCTGAAAGTTGTCCCGTTACAGCGCAGTCCAGGTATAATGGTTCTCAAAGGAGGATGAGTTCCAGTCAGGGAAAGCTGTTGGCCAACGGTACGTCAGCGCAGCACATCAAAAACTGGGGAAGCTTCCGGATTCCGAAACGAAGCGAAAAGACTGCGGGAGAAGAACATGAGCAGACGGAGGGGCGGGGCTTCACCCACTCTCCTCCTATCAGCTCTGTAGATGCAAGCCCCGCCCCCACCACCTCCCCTCCAATCAGAACTCGGCTAAGGACAGGCACGGAGAACCGCAGCTTCACCCCGGAGACGGAGCACAGCCAATCGGAGCAGAAGAAGAGATGCCACGCCCAGCGGCTTCGGAGTCACGATCCAATCACACCACGCTACGGGTCGGAGGTTTTACGGCGCGGCGTTCTCGCGTCGTAATCAACGTCAAAGTGACAGTTACCAAGAAAACTTTATGTGAAGTTATGTGTCAAAAATTTAATATTTTTCTTGTGTAATCCAAATAAAAGCAGCACTAAGAGGAGCCACATGTAAGATTTTTATTTATTTTTATGGTTTATTTTGTATTTTATTAAATGATCTTTGTAAGATCTTCATACGTCAGTCGAAAATATCAAATTTAACAGTGAAAGATCTTGTTTCTTGTTCTGATCTTCCCAAAGACAAACTAGCTTAACACTGTCAGGAAATGCTGATCACACAGACACAAAAAGGGTTAATAATTAATAAGCTAACAAACAAATTCCAACACACAATCACTATTATCAACAGCACGGCAGACTCGATCTTACTTGTGGCTCCTTTTAAGACTCTGTTACCGGACCGATATTTATTTTTCTATTTCGTACATTTCTTGATGCTGCTTTCTTTCGTTTTGTGCTTCGTTTACTTTCCTGAGCGGTTTTCTTTGTTTCTTTCTTTTTTTTTCCCTTTTCTCCTCTCGTCGCCCGCTACAGTGCTACACGACAAGATCACACACGCTAACAGATAAGCTCATAATCAAATACAGTTAAACTAGTCTGGCTGAATTTAATTAGCTTAATTTCTGTTGTTTAAAAAAAACAAAAAAACAAAAAAAACATGATTTCACATGTAATTGTGTCTTGGAAAAACATATGAACGTAGTGTTGAACGCAGGTTTGACCGATTTGTACAATCATAACTAGCACTTGGCGCAGTGGTTTCCGGTCTCGGTCTTTGGGGCCGTGCGCGCTTTGTTTTGTTTTTGTTCAACTCATCACGTTTTCGATTGGGGAAATTGTGCATTGCTTTGGGAACCACTGAGTTAGTAAACCATTTACTACATTAACATCATGGATAGAAAGGTGTGGCCTGCCATACTGGCTCAGATCAGTTATGAGTTGTTTGGCACTTAATTGTCACCAATAATCCTATAAAAAAAAGTTTGTTTTCTTTTTTCTGGGCTAGATACCAGAGTCTATCCATGAAAATGTATTTATGGATTTATTTATTTCCTTATGTTTTTTTTTTTATGTAAAGAGGCTTTGGCGCTCTTGTGTCGTCATGGCATCTTTCTCTCCTCAGGTAATGTTTTATTTTGTGTACTTTCCGTAAAGGTTTTTCCCCCCAGACATCAGCTAAGATAGACTAAAAATGATTTTCAATGGAGATACACCATCGACGGTGTAATCCAGTCCACAAAAAATGGCCCAAAGTGTTTTTTTTTGTTTGTTTGTTTGTTTTTTTCCTTGAGGAAAATGTTCTTGTTCATGTCACATTCAAGTACATGTACACATGGTGTTAAAGGTGTTTTTGGTCTAATAATAATAATAATAATAATTATTATTATTATAGTAATAATAGTAACAATGCCATTGATTTGGTTCACTCCAACAAGGCACAGCAGCCTGGCTGTTTAGGGGTCAGTTCTTCAAAACCACTGCAGCTTGATTTGTCTAACAGTCAATGTAAGTTAGGAGCCACAGTTAGCGTCATTTCATTTACCTGTTTCTTAGTGGTGGTTGGCGTATTTAGCAATATTTTGTTGCTGTCAGGACAAAGCCGTGCATCTCCATTTTAATCGCTTTTTGGACATAATTAATTTTGTCTCAACTATTACATCATTCCCTGATCGCAGTCATGAACTAATCGCAATTACTTTCCATAGTTGTCACAATTATGTATACATGACAAGCGACTATGACCTGGGTGCATTTTCCTCAGGAGGAACGAAGCAAATGCATGTAAATAAAAGAAATCAGTAAACGCATTTATTGAGACACACCATGGGTCTTATAAAATCAACTAACTTTTGTTAGAAGTAATGTTTTAACACCTTTAGAGGGCAGCAGTGAGTAATGGTCAAGCTTGAGCAGTCAGTTGTTAGCTAGCAAGTATTGACAGTAAGATAATGAATTAAAGACAACTTGGCCATTTTAGAATTGTACTTTAATAATTGCACTGAACGAAAAAAGACAGTTTTTCAGATTTGATTATAAAGCAAATAATCATCAACTTAAATTTGAGGATCTTGACAGGCCTAGAGATGTCTTGAAAGCCTGCAGTTGCACTTTACATGGGAAAATTTCATGACAAATGGACCAACAGAAACAGTCTAAAATTATTTTCTAAAAATCTTAATCTATATTAATGATACATTTTTTTTTCCTTTTCCTGTAAAGTTACCATTTTGGAAATCTGAGGTTTTGTTCTGACAGTGACAATTTAGTAACAGGCACTGTATCTTCAAAGGAACAGCTGGACTAAACAAAATTGACACTGTGTCCAAAAGTATCCAGGCAGCTCTTCTGCACCCACTGATGCAGGTGTTCAACTACAACAGCTTGTATTATTGCCGTAGAAAAGCACTGACCAATAGAATGGATGCTCTAGTGCAGCTACATGAGCCGAAGGTCACCATGCCCAATGCCAAGCGTGGGCTAGAGGGGTATAAAGCCCCCCAGCATTGGGCTGCGGAGCAGTGGAACTGTTCTCTGGAGTGATGGAGCTCCATCCAATACCTTTGAGATGAGTTCGAGGGATCAACCAAAATCAGTACCTGACCTCACTAATGCTCAATAAAATCCTCACAGCAATGTTCAGAGTAGAGGCTGTTACTGCAGCACAAACTCACTTTTAATACCTTCATTTCAGAAGACACCTTTGGACACAGTACAGCGTCATTTAATTTGCTGATTGTTTCTTTCTAAACATTAATAACATGCAGTTTAGTTTTAAAGGAATAACGTGGTATTAGTTGCTAATGTGGCTATCAATGAATGAAGTTAGTAGCCACAATTAGCATCATTCAGTTTGCATCATTCTAGGTGGTTGCAATTCAAATTCATTCGTTTTTTATAAGATTAGCACTTTGACATTAGTATTCTTTGAAGAACTGATCCTTGAAGCAAAAATATGGAAGATGGATTTAGTAAACAGTGGCCTAGACCCCCAATAGGCCTTGGAACTAGTGTTTTTGGGGGGGCTGGGTCTAGACCGGGCCTAGACTGGTCTTATAAGTGCATTCTCTTAGAAACTGTTCCCAGATCAGCACTTCTGCTGTTTAAAGGTTCTTCATGCAAGTAAAATGCTGAGATGAACTCACACTTGATTGTTAACATGTGACTGGATTTCACACAAGGAGCCTTTCCAGCTAACAAGGATCATGAATTTAGGATAACGTTATCGGACAGCCTGCATATCTTTAGCATCCTGTGCATCCGCAAGTTAGAAGTATTCATGTTTAGTTCAGTGACCTCCATTTAAACATGGACCCATATTGCACTAAGTTAAAAAGAATGAGAAAAAAAAATGTATTGTGTATCGCAAAATGATTGAAATCATGCAAATGATGAGAATGATTTCTCAGAGCTTGAAAGGACTTTAAGCTTCGCTACTTGTCAGAGTTGCCTTTGGTCAGTAGTAGAATGTTTGCACTTGGATGTTTTCTTTATTTGTAAGTATTTTTTATGTCGTTTAGGCTAATCGCGAGCAGACTTCGGTGTGGTCCGAGTCAATCTTGTGCCTGTGTGGCTTTGGTTAACCTGTTGCACTAGAATAGAGCAAGGCAGCGCGGCTTGACTATGTTCTCTAAAAGTTATTTTTCACATACAAAGAGACCTTTTATATGAACAAGTGCTGCTGTATTTTTTTGTTATGCATCTATTTTGTGAATAAACCCCTTTGAGAATTAAACTGGGAGGCTTTTTGGTTCATTGAAAATGTTGAATACTGGTTTTGTCCACCAGAGGTCACTAGAACTCAGAGAGAGCCATGAACCTTTTAAATGCCCTGAAGAGGCCTCACTGTAACTTTTATTAGAGAGGGTTTCTTTTTTATTAGATAATTCAACTCACCATCAAAGAAGCAGATCATTTCATTTGCTTTTAATATTCATTCTCAACAGAAATGATACAAGACATCACAGAATAGAAACATCTGAATGTGCAAGATCTTTAGAAAACACAGTCTGAGCTACTTTACTCCCATTTTCTGCTGTATTAGAGTGCAGATCTCACTACTGTCCTTCCTTTTGGGTTAATTGGAAACATTTACTTAACAGGAGCATTGTATTGTTGTACTGTTAAGGTCACATTCATAAGGGTGGGCAATACCACTGATTTTCATTGGTTGTGGTATGAAGGCTGGTATTTAAATACCAATACTTTTACAAGTCTTCTGCACATAAAAGGGTAAATATTTGTGATTTTTACAATACAAACCAGTAAATATGGACTTCAAAAAAGAATGTTTGCATTAGTGTTAAATAAACAAAGATCAGATTTAGTGGTGAAACAATATACATTTACAGCAGTCTGTAATCTGTTTTTCCTTTTCAGCATTGACATCCAATATCATGAAGCAATAACTATACATGTATTGATATTTTCAAGTGAGGACCGATTCTCAAAAGGAATCGTGATTGGAAATAGCGATACTTAGCTAAGTATCAATCCACCCATTCTTACATTTAATAACCCAAAGTCATGGCACTTGTGAGGTCCTTAAAGTGGGTAGTCTCACCATCCAGTGGATCTGACCACTGGTGCCCAATGGATCATACAATGGTCTTTCAACCTACCAATGGATAGGGTCTCAAAGGGGAAATGTACTGAAATGTCCCCATTGGTTCCCAAGGACTATATTTGGCACGTTTTTGCATGTTTTTGACCATCAGCCTGTGCTCACTTTGTTCATTCTGGTGTATTTTCTCTTCACACAACAAGATCTTCATTTAGGTCGTTGGGATGCAGCGTTAGGTGTTTTCGACCGGTGGTGTGTCATGTATTGTGACCACTGTGGAGCCGCTGGTGGTGCTGAACTGCTCGATGGGGTTCTGGTCCACTCTTGTCAGGTCCACCCGTGGTATGTGGAATCCGTTCTCTGAGGAAGCTGTAGACTGGACGAAACTTCCCAGGCCAGAGTTCGCTTGGATGTTTGTCATTGCCATGTTTGTGTTCGTTGACGACGTGTTTTTCCGTGGTTTGTTGGAGCTCCCGCCAAGCATCCTCGCTGCATGCGTCCTCCTGTCGCATTAAAGTTATTACAGATTTATTACAGCAGCATGAAATGTCCTATATACAGTAACATGACAATTATTCATTCATCTTCTAAGCCACTTATCCTCCTGGGTCGCAGGCGATGCTGGAGCCTATCCCAGTGCTCACTAGGCAAAAGGCAGGAAACAACCTGGACAGGTCGCCTCTCCATCACAGGGCAGACACACAAACAATCACATTCACAGCTAGGGACAATTTAGTATCTCCAGTCAGCCTGACTGCATGTCTTTGGACTGTGGGAGGAAACCCACACAGAAAGGACCCTGGTTACCCGGCCGGGGAATCAAACCCAGGCCCTTCTTGCTGTGAGGCGACAGCCCTACCCACTGGCACAAAAATGACCTTTAGTAGTGGTATGCATTAAGAATTGGTAATGAATATCAAATATTAATTTAATAGTACTAAAATATAAATATTTAAATATAATATGTTAATTGTTAACAATTACTTATGCTAATTAGATTAAAATATTGTAATTTTTATTTAAATAATTAACAAAATATTTTATTTTTAGGCTTGTTATTTATTGTCCATAGGACATTTCTGCTATATATAGCTTTTCTTTATGAAATGTAAGCTTTTTTTCTCTGCTTTCTTAAGATGTCAAGCCAAACACATCTTATTTATGCTTAAGTATCCATTTGCTTTTGTGAGGTTTCCCCAAAAACTTTACGCTGTTGAGAGAGGCTTTTTAACACAAACCAAAATAGTGAAATAAGCATTTAGGGCCAACAGTGTTATGATAAAAGTATGAATTTAAAGTTCTGTTTTTATAGAAGTGTGCTTACATTTATTAATTTTAGTATTCTTGTGGTCTGTATAATCATGCATGCTTACTGTCTGTATATTTGTTTTAAGCATACTTGTGGTGTCTGATTTTACTGTCTTCTTTCAAAATCCATTAGCCTTTTTTTTTAAATAGTCTATTTGCGTGGAACAGGGGCATGTAAATAGCTGACCATGTCAGTGTGTGTTATATGCGGACTGACCTGTTGTATGTCTTCAGTATGATGAGGAGGATGGTGAGGATGATTACAATGCCGATGACAATAATAGCAATTATGGCTCCTGAACCTGGGAGGGAGAGTTTAGAGTCTGTTACAGTCACAGTTGATCACAGTCCAGTATCAAAATACTATCACTGTTAATATGTATATGATTTTTTTTATTTCTGTAATTTAGGGATGCAGGAATGACCACATTGTGATGACATACACATCGCTCCATACTGCCATTGTGATACACAAAAAAAAAACTTTTGGTGCTATTTAGAACCCTTTTCAAAAAGGTTCTATATAGAACCATCTACAGTACATTCTCTGTTAATCTGATAAACCCTTTCACCATGCAAAGAACCTTTAAATCATGCAAAAGGTTCTTTGAATGTTCATGGTTCTACATAGAACCATTTTCTTTACTAAAGAACCCGTGAAGAACCATCATGTTTAAACGTGTGACATTACTGAAGATTACCCTGCACAAAAGTATTTGTTGGGTCATGCGAACACCTTGGCTCATCCAAAGATTCAAACAACACTCATGTGGAACATCTTCGATCTGAGATATCACAACAACTATTAAACAGTATTTTGCCAGTATGAACAACATATACTGATCTATAGTGGTAGGATCAGAAATAGTAATGAGGAAAAAGGAGAGGGGAAGGTGGTGGGGCGCGATAACTTTGTCACAGGAAAAAGAAGGTAAAGATGAAAATTTATACAATGATAGATGTGAGGATGAGTTTCAGGGATCAGCTTCATCCTAAAGTTAGTTATTTTTTAACGTCACCTCATACGGCCCGACTGGAATGCTGTTTATTCATGTGTACAGATGCTAGAGTTATTATTAGCATGATTTTTCCTGTTGCATATTTTTAAGTAAAAAAAAAGTCATACAAACTTCAAAACTATAGTATATAGCTGGTAAATACTGTGGTAAATACAGTCAGCTATTAACTGAAAGTGAGGAATTTTCTGCTTTGTAATGGCTGCATTTCCACGGCTAGTTACAGAAATGCTGAAAGACTGGAAAGCCTTCTCTGAGTGATGACAGAGGACGTTCTGTAGTCGATTTACAGAGGAGTAAAATATCACATTCTACACATGCATTGCTTAAAATTGTAAGTGCGAGCAAGACTGACAGATAAACATGCGCCTAGAGATATTTCCTAGTTTAGATATTGTAAAATGTCTTTTGAAAGTAACTTATGCAATATTGCGTGTAAAATATTGTACTTTTATATTATACCTGTTAAGCAACCTACTAAGATAATATAGCTTTTTTGTGGATATATTGTTACTGACGTATTAATCACATTATGTTATGTTATATATTGTGTTATGTACATTTTCAGTGGCTATTTTTGACAATAGTATTTCTAAAGCAATGCTGACTAACTGGATAATTGAGTTTATGCACATGCGAAACATGTTGTACCGCAAATGCACTTTGTATTGGAAATAGAAACTGAATATAAAGGACTTTTATTCCACACTGATGACTTTGTAATGTTGGTTTTATATACTTAAATCGCTCATAATGTTGTGAATGAACAAGCTAAATTGCTGTAGGTTAAATAGGCACTCATAACCAGGATGAACCAGTATGAAAATGAAAATATTTATTGCTTTTTTGCATACTTTCCACACATGGACTGGATGGACTTGTGATATGTTGACATTGTTGACAATGTTTACAAAGTGCCTTAACCTCTTTTATTAAAAAAGCAAGTAAGATACATTTTTTCATGATCTGGGCCCTTTAGGTGAATAGGCAATAGGCTATAATCAGGCTACTGAACTATAGGACGGCAGTCGGAGTCACCAGTAGGTGGAAGTAAAGAGCCAACAGACCCACATTTACCAGGGATTATTAAGTTAATGTCATTGTCTCAAAGGAAGTGAAGTAAGCTTTGGCAGCAGAAGCTGAACACCTGGAACCATGTGACTGTGGGAGTGTGCGGGTGTGGTGTGATGACCAACGTGGAACAAATGAATAAGATAATTGTTTTCAAACACTGTGGGAATGCAAACACACATGATGCTGAAAGGGCCCTACACAGTAACCGGAGCAAACTGAAGCAAGCAGTACTGTCCATTACTTTACACAAGGGGTCTCAACCTTTTCCACCCCGATGCCCACCTGTTTACACACACAAAGCATAGTGGCCAACGGGAAAACTAAAATTAGCTTTTTTAATGCAATTTTATTTTTTCTTAAAAACACTGACACTGAAAACCTGAGAATTAGGGCCTGAAAACGATAAGACCGGTTCAATCTCAAAAAACACAATTATAGTTATGTTAAAAAACATAATGTGAAAAAAACATGGTTGTTACATGATGTTACAAAAACTCTGCTTTGCACCACAGTAGACCCATAGACACATTTTGAAGCATGGATAACATGACATTTTTCATCCCCAGTTGTTAAGTCGGGTCTAATTTACAGGTGTGTGTATGGATATTTGTCCCACACATACACTCAAGCATACCCACACATACTGTACTGTGCAAATGTCAAAGACCAATCTTCATTTATTAAATGTGTAGTCAAAATGGCAATTAAGTACAAATTATTCATTTTTCAGGATCAGGATAAAAAACTGAAATTAGACATTTAACAGTAAATTACACAAAATTCCTTTAACAACTAAATATAATACGAACTTTTAGTTCAGTGTTCAGTGAGTCACTCTTTACCTTTATTCCAGCTTCCATTCTTTTCAGGAGACTCACTTTCAGTTTCTCAAAGAAATCTGCAGACACACCTCTAAAGTTCAGTCTGAGAAGATGTTTTTCTCAGTGAGGGCTCCTTGACAGCTACATATCTATTCAGACCCATAGCACTGAGTTGTCTTCTCACAATGGAAGGATGGACAGAAATACCTGTTGTTTTTTTAGATCTAAAGCAGCTTGATTTTCTCCTCTTTCTCAAAGATGAAAGCTTTAAGTGCTGTTTATTTAATGTTTCAGCGTCTATCGGGTCTTCCAGGTGGTTGTTAGGAGTCACATTTTCTAAAACCATGTACGTTGTTTGGTAATTGCTTTTTTGTCCAGGTTTTATGATATATTTTTTAAAATTTTGTTTACAAGAGTGGTGAATAAGACTTCCACTCTGAAAATTGGCATTAAATCTAGATTTTTGGTGGGTTCTACATGGTTAACAAAAGATGAAGCATCAGAATACTGTGTATGAAAACAAATGCCAACATAACAAAGAAATATTGAAGTGTTCAAATTATTCAGGCAGGACCTAAATCATTTTTTGAACTCCAGTTTTGGAAACTACTGTTTTTCCATTTACTCACCTTTAACTTTACACTTTCTCATGAAAGTGGATCATTTTATATTGTAGTGACCCACTCCTGGCTTGCACTGGCTCAGAGAGACTCTGTAGGTGTGGCTATACAGATGGGCACACGCAAAGGCTCATAGTACGCATGCACCCTCTTATTGTGTTGTTTAGTTCAATTTAAGTTGTGAATATGTATTTGTGGTGTTGTTCTGTGTGAGGGTGTGGGGTTATGGTGTTGTTAATTGTTTTGGGGGTTGGTCACCTTCAAGGTGAAGCCAGTGGCTAATGGTGACCTACCCTGCAGTTTCAGTGCTCTGTATGTGCCTTTTGCTGGTGTGTTTAATAAAGTACAATTCTTGCAGCAAAATCAAGGCTGACCCTGTGTTTGTTTTTCTGTGCTACACTGATGTCAGAAGTGGGATAACATACATCCACCTCAGCAGTCTTGGGAGAAACGGTGCTTCAAGAGCTTTCCAGGTGAGTAGTAGGAAAGGCAGATCCTGGTGAAAGACCGTTGACGACAAGGACAACACTGAAAGGCTCTATGCGGAAAACAGCCTAGCGAGGCTTGGCGGCAAGGCTATATTGGCAAGGCAGGAAGCCAGAGCCACTGCAGGGAGGCTTGACAGCGAGATTGACACAGCAAAGCTGGAGGCAGGAGGCGTTGGCCTTCACAAAGACTTGGCTTGAAATAAAAGGTGGTCTCTGACTTTGGCACAGCACTTTACACCATTATTATCTTCACTGTTTATATGTAACCCCAACATTTTTAATCTAAGTGACCAGAATACAGTGACCACATCAGGTTTTTCAAGTGAAAGCTGAAAAACTGGTGATGTACACATTATTTTACACCCACACACACTTACTCTGGACAAGGATCTGTTGTGCGGATTTGGTGGAGGCAGTGGTGGTGTTCTGTGCTACTGTAGTGAAGTTGGTCACAGGTTGAACTGTGGAAGATTGCATCTTCAGCAGCGTCCTAAAACCAAAGAGAAAAAATATGATTATATTATTGGGGACAAATTTGGGCTGTGAAAAATGAGCTAAAGCCAGATTAGTTACAGCCCTACTCATTTTATTAAAGTGCCCATAAAATGCAAAATATGAATTTAAAACAATCACATCAATATTTTATTAACATTAACTATAAAAAATGTTTCAGTAATTTAATTAACAACCACTAGTTCTTTATATACACACACACATCACCATGTAAGAGAGATACATTCTTTTAGACATCCCTTCCATGATAAAGTGTAAGAGCCATTACACTGATTTAACGTTGTTTGAAATACTGCACAGTGGAATATAGCTGAGCCTTTATTACATTTCAAGGCAGATTGTATCCCATTCTGAACAGAATGAAGCCTTTTGTTTCTAAAATGTAAATTGTTTTTCACTAAAGAGGTCAAGTGACATGAAAACAGTATAATAGAGGTTTTGTTTTTCATTTTGGCACATATTGTCATTTAATGTTTTTCCACTGTAATGATTGCCTTTCAATTTGGCACGAATTCCACTCCATAGTATCCAACCTGCCTAGTTTTGATTAGTTACAACAACACAGTCCTTCTCAGTGGTGTAGCATTTTAAACTGGAATCACAAAGGTTTATAGTGACTATAAACAAAGACTGTAGTGGCCCAACTTGAATAATTTAAGGATTTTGGCAAAAACTGCATTGTGAAGTGAGTATGTGTGTAGTGGAAGAAAAATATATGTGTACATATTTACTCATATTAAAAATATAGAATCAGAATCACACAGAAGTATTAAACTGAGAGACAAATAAAATAAAATAAAACAATAAATAAAATGAGAAAAAATAATATTGTGCAAATATGTGAAATATATATGCTAATTTTAAATATGAAAATTTCTAAATACTAATATAAGTACATTTATGTCAATATATTGAAATGTCTGCACATATATAAATGAAATATTTTGTACATTTTTAATATGAAAACATCAAAAATGAATGTATTTTGTTTTGTGCGGGAATTATTCTGTGTGTGTGTGTGTGTGTGTGTGTGTGTGTGTGTGTGTGTGAGGCCTGCCGAGTCCTAATGAGTCGATTAAGGCCTAATGAGTTTATTACATTTTTTATTGGGACTTTAACACTGGACGGGTGCCCAAATCAAATGAAAATGATTATGTATTAGAATTTGAAGAAAATGCTATTTTTTGCTGCAGAGGTTATGTGTCATTCTTTTCACTTTTAAAATCAACAAAATTGTTAATTTGTCTGGGTGCCAAAACTTTTGCAAATATCTGTATATTGACCCGAAGCTGAGGTGTGTGTCTGTGTGTGAGTCGGATGCTGAGGCTTGTTTGGCTCTGTTACAGTAGAGTAACTGCAGCTGCTTCAAAAGAGAACAAAATTTGCATCGGCTATAAAAAGCTGAAAACCCTGGAACACGGAAGAGACGCACTCACACACACACACATGCACACGCACACACACACACAGTGTGCAGCTAACACATAATACACTTTCAATGCAGAAAGTACACTCTCCCAATCTTCCAAATACACATTTTTAGTCTCTCACAGCCCCCCCCACCCCATGCATACACACACAGCTTGTCTCTGATTCTCCTACACACACAGAAACACAGACGCAAGATCTATTCTTGACCGGCAGATTATATTCAAATAGCCCCACAACTACAAAACATGCAAACCTTCAGTTTCATAACTGCCATTTTATTTTCCACGTGGTGGAGCACACAGGACAAACGGACAGCATGTGTGTGTGTGTGTGTGTGTGTGTGTGTGTGTGTGTGTGTGCCAGGGGGTCCCCTACCTGTTTTACATAAATCCAAACTACTGTCTACAGTGATGATCCAGACTGAAGTGAAACCACAGCACTGATTCAGCGTTTGTGTGCACTGGAAAACCACCAGACCACAGGACTCACCTGGTCATCATACAACCTAATCGCCTCATCACCTTCCAACCGGCAAACCTGGTCATCACACACCTAACCACCCCATCACCTTTCAACTTTACACTCCTGGTCAACATACACTTGATCTACTAATCATTACCTGTCCACTGGGTCATCACACACCAAACTGCCTCTTCATCTTATTGCTGGACAAACCTGATCATCATACAACTTCATCATTCTCAGCATCTTTCAGCTGGACACACCTGGTCAACACACACCTGATTACCTTATCACCCTGTCCACAGGTCACAAGTGATCACTACACAACTGATCACCTCATCATCCAGCCAATTGGACACACCTAGTATTCACACACCTAATCACTTCATCACTTTTCCACCGAACAAGCCTGTTTATCATGCACTTGATCTACTGGTCGACATCTGTCTATCGATCTTCACCAGGTCATCACATGCCTGATCTACTGGTCATTAGTTGTCCACTGGTGACAACTGGTCATCACAAATTTGATCTCTTCATCATCTGTCCGCTAGTCATGACCACACCTTGTCATCGCACACCAGATCGTCATATTACCTGTCCACTGGTCATACCTGGTCACCACACATGATCACCTCATCACTTGTCCACTGGTCACAACTTGTGATACACACACCTGATCTACCAGTCATCATCTGTCCACTGTTCACACCTGGTCACCAAATACCTGATCACCTCATCGCCTGTCCACCGATCATCACTTGGTCATCACACACCTTGGTCATTATTTGTCCACTGGTCACAACTGGTCATCACAAACCTGATCATCTCATCACCTGTCCACTGGTCACACCTGGTCATCACACACCTGATCATCTCATCACCTGTCCACTGGACACAACTGATCACCACAGATCTGATCTAGTAGTCATCATCTGTCTACTGGTCACATCTGGTCACCTCACACCTGATTATCCCATCACTTGTCCACTGGTCACACTTTGTGACCACATACCTGATGTACAAGTCATCATCTGTCCACTGTTCACACCTGGTCACCAAATACTTGATCACCTCATTGCCTGTCCACCGATCATCACTTGGTCATCACACACCATGTCTGCTGGTCATCACCTATATGCTTGTCATCACACACCTTGGTCATTATTTGTCCACCGGTCACAACTGGTCATCACACACCTGACCATCTCATCACCTGTCCACTGGTCATCACCTGGTCATCACACACCAGATCTGCTGGTCATCACCTATACGCTTGTCATCACTCTACTTTAGATCTCAGCTAATCCTTAGCTCTTTTACAGCCTCACTGAAACGTCATAATTGAATATGTTTGCATGTGACTGACTGCAGCAGCATTCAATGCACACAGAAGCAAACGGAAATAAACCTGCGTTTGCAGGTCTTCAATTTTTTTTTCCGTTTGCCTTTGAGTAGAACAGCAAACAGTGGTAAAAAGGCTCTGTGTATGTGCTGTAAGGTGAGCTGCAGGCCACTGGCCTAGACTCTGGCCTCTCTGTGTATCTGTGGATGTCATAAAAACTCAACATGGTTCACTTTTACTTCGCTGCGTTCCGAAGACAAAGACAGCTGCTTAAATTTATAGCCCTCACTATCAGCTGAGCAGATGGACGGAGACAGCATGACACTGTTACTCCGCTGTGCTTTGTGTGCGTTTGCTTTGCTAAGCTAGCACGTGCCTCAGCGTCTGCACACACATTTCACTATTTGTTAAGCAATTTATAATATAATTGCTTATGTGTTTTCTAATACTGTATGACATACTGACAAGATTTAGGCTTCAAGATTCTACTTCTACATGCAGTTAGCACCATGCTAATTAGTGGTGTACAGCACACTACTTGTTAGCTACATTAGCCTTTTAGCTCCAGGCTAAAAGATGGTTCTTCAAGGGTTCGTTAGTAAAGACAATGTTTCTGTATAGAACCCTAAACACTCAAAGAACCATTTGCATGCTTAAATGGTGATGTATGATCTATGCATGGTGAAATAGTTCTTCAGATTGATGGAAAATGTGTTGTATATAGAATGTGACACTGTATGTATAAAACCATCTATAGCACATTTGTTGTATGTGGTTCCAGACAGAAACGTTTGGAAAAGTGTTCATATAGAACCATAAACACTCAAAGAACTCTTTGTATGTTGAAATGGTTCTTCAGATTGATGGAGAATGTGCTGTAGATGGTTCTATATACAGCCTTTTTTAAAATGGTTCTGTATAACACCAAAAAGAGTTCTGCCTTTGTTACAATGTCAAGCTTGTAACAATAGAAGAACCCTTTTTGGTGCTATACAGAACCCTTATAGAACCATGTACAGCACATTCTCCATCAATCTGAAGAACACTTTTACAATGCAAATAACTCTTTGATCATGCAACGGGTTCTGTAAGTGGTTATGGTTCTATAAAGAACTATTTTTTTTTACTAAAGAACCCTTGAAGAGCCATCTTTTTTTAAGTGTGCTATTGTTATGATGTCAAACTTGTAACAGTAGAAGAAGCCTTTTTAGTGGTATCTAGAACCATTTTGCACCATTTATACAACATATTAAGCATGCAAATGGTTCTTTCAGTGTTCATGTTTTTTTATATATAGATATACATTGTTTTATATATATATATATATATATATATATATATATATATTAATATTACACAAATATAGGATACTTGTATATCATTGCCTATCTTTTTTAAAAATCTGATAAAATCTGACACAGACAAGTTAACAAAAGATTAATTTGAGAACCGATTAAAATACTTTATCATTATTAAAGAACTAATCTATTCAAAATCTCTCAGTATATAAATGTTCTAAAAATAACAATTCATGTAACTACCTTAAAAACAAACAGAGCTTTTTCAGTAGCTACATTGGGGAACCCTCAGGGCCTTCTGGGCCCTCAGAGAAAGAGTCACTGTAAAACTGATACATACAAGCTCAAATATATGGCTACTGTCGGAACAAAACCTCATGTGTCCATTTTTGTTGTTTTGTACTTTTTTTAAATAAAAATTTAACATGCCAGCTGCCCTTT